ACAGCAATAACTGATGGAAGACTAGGATGATCTTATAACACACCATACAAAAATTAACTATGGATATATATATAAATATACAGAGAATCTGTGTAAATATTTAAGAAATATATACCTATAAATATATACATATATAGGCGAATAAGTACTGGTACATATTTGGCAAAGGGTATGCTTGGTTTCATGGCAAGGTTCATAGAGATTTCCTTGTGATTCAGTGAAACGTCAAACAGAACAGCATGTGAAAAGATCTCTTTTTAAAAATTGTGGGACTAAAAGCACTGCCACCAGAATGTACCACTGTTTTGTGTTTACAGTGCTTACTGGGATCACTCTTGTCTCAACTAACGGAATCCTGTCAAACAATTTCACATTAGCTCCTTCTTGCAACAGCACAAGGTGTGTAATGAGACATACTTTCATCCCATGTCCACTAATGATGGCATGAAAACTAACACAGATCATACTGAGATGCTTTCAATATGGCTCAAATCCTTTCCCAATGTCTAAAGCTCTTTGCTTAAATGTCATGAGGTGCTGCACCCAAATTGAAGATAACCTATTTATTGCTGCCAACGGTATGGCTACAAACAGTGCATCTATTACTTACTAAGAACACATTTATTAAAAGGTATCCTGTGGTACACTAAATATAACTGGAATTTGGTGGTTCAGGTTGTAAGTTTCCATGCTGCACAAAGCAGATGACATCATTTATGTGTCCCATTAACAAATCAAAACCAAACGTGATCATGATCAACTCATTTTCAATGTTCTTACATGTAAAACTCATGGAAGCTTCATTGCTAACATAACATACAAATTCAATGCTAACTTAACATACAAATGCTCTATACTATCTATAGACCTGTATGGATTGTTTTGGCAAGGTTTTAATCAGAGTGACAACTATATGTAATCAGTTCCCTCAGCATGGCTGAGCAGAGTTTTATCCCTTTGGTGTTTGAGAACCATAAGATTGTATTACACCTGACTCACTAACTTATCAAAATCCTGTAAGATTCAGTGGTAACAGACAACTTGAAACACCAGTCCAATGTTCTTAACAATGTCAACTAAATGAATGCTATTTCCCTCTGAACTCTTTATATGAACACAAATAAGTCCTACATATCGCCTTCCTAGTTTGTCTACAAACTCAGATTCGTCAGTCTCAAGAATGTACAACTCACTCTTGCATATATAACAAAATCTGCTTGAAGTAAGTGAGTTTAGTTTTCCAGCAACATCACGGCACACCAGCAATATTCCAGTTATGTGGGGATTCGAACCGGTCTGTAAATAACCACTGAAGTCCGGACCAGACAATCCAGTGATCAACATCATGAGCATCGATCTTATATGGCGGTTGGGATAATGAAGTGACATGTGATCAACATCATGAGTCATCGATCAAATTGTCAGACATGTAATCAACAACAAGTCAGCTTAGTCTGACCATCCGCCTCTTACGACAAAATCTGCTTGAAGATAATGTTGATAACATGATTGCATTCTGCCTTTTATAACTGCACTGACAACATACTATAAAACAGTATTGTTAAAGGAAACTAATTAATGTCAATAACAATGCGTTCATATCAAAGCAAGATGTTATAACATCTACACTTCTCTAGATATCTATCTCAATTTTGAGTGGGTGAGTGAGTGAGTTTATTTTTACGCCGCTTTTAGCAATATTCCAGCAATATAACAGCACCAGAAATGGGCTTCACGCATTGTGCCCATGTAGGGAATCGAACCCAGGTCGTGACGAGCAAACGCTACAACCACTAGGCTACCCCACCACCCCTCAATTTTGATATTGCAATACTCATATTCATATTTAACAGTATGTGGTACAGCAGTCCAATACAGAAGAGTCCACCTGAACACCAAAACCATGCCAGCACATGTCCTCTTATACACGAATATTAAATAAATAAATACTCTTTTGTTGCAACTATGTACCTGTATAATTTAGGTATCAGAAATGCAATGATACCACGTTAATCTGGAACTCGCAGCTTCTGGATAAATACTGTCCATAACACTAATAGCCAATGGGGAATTCTTGGTTTATGTTATTCTTATTATTATTGTTATGTTATTATCTTCAGATTTATTATTTCATACTTCATAGTGAATAGAATGACTAACAAGGTTTTACTGCATTTCTTCTGAACTCCAATGTGCAGAGAATTCAATATGAAGTGTATTGTCAACAAGGAGCTTATATGTCTGTAGTCAATTTGTCATGGCAATGTGTTGTTAAACTTCAGTATATACCGGTATGTGTCAGATCTCAGTATATATGTGTGAGATCTATATGAAAGGAGATTTGAAAGTGATTGATCTACGCTTAGAAAAATACATCAACATATTCCTGTGATATTAAATCTCCACAAAGAATTTTGATTGCTAATATTAAGTATTCTGGGAATAGTTCAACTGAGTCTTGTCTTGCATAATTGCTGAACAAATGACGATGATCTATTTGGGCAAAGTTGATTTGAATGTCAATCCAGACAAAGACAAAATAAAGCAAAATGATCCATCTCATACAAGAGAATAATCCAAACGATCTACTTTGAAAAAATTCTCTCAAACAAAAATGTATTATTTCATCACTACTTGTAAGATATACTGACATTGATTGTCCTTAAAACATCAAAAGAAATATATCTCAATAACATAACAAGATAAATCAAAGAACATGTTTCAATTGTTGACAATTTGACACTTATGGTATTCAGCAGTAAACAGTCACTATCAGCAAGGGATTGTCTAGTGTGGTGTGTCTATAACACAACACCACTGATTGTTCATACAAATATGTTTTCACAAGTCAAACAATCAACTATCACAAACACACACACAAATCAGTCTAAATTCAATAAAATATCAAGTCAAGAGTGATTTCTTATTATAGCATGTATGCTTAAAGGTCACATGCAACCAAAAAATCAAACATAATTAAAACACAATTATCACTTATTCATGACATATAATATACATTGTTGATTATGAAAAAACATATAAACAAAATTATAAGCGTACAATAACAAATCAAAAGTGCAATATTTTGTACTTGGGTTTACTTCCCTTGAAACGAAGCACCTGGGATACCGAACCCAGTCAGAGCAGGTGGGTGTGCACTCAAGTGTAACGGCTGGTTCATTTGCCGATGCCCTCACGGCTCATTGTGTGTGTGTATATAGAGATGTTGGGTTTTGTAAATACATGCTTATTTTTTGTGTATAACATTTTGCAATCAACAGACATCATAACATGTCATGTGTTCAAGTATCACACCTGCCTGTCTGTGTAATTACATAATGTGACAGAGACCGAACTCGGGCCATAAATCAATGCGTTTTGTTTATGGTGTAAAGCCTGATAGGTGTTAAGTTCAAATTGCGTGTGGTCAGTGATCGAAGTTGTGTATTGAATATTGTCATTAGCAGACAGGCAGGCAGACACAAAGTTGTCAATCAAACAGACATTGAGTTTTGTCTTTGACAACGACATCAGTTAGAAATTCTGTCAACGCTAAAGAATGACATTGCTTTTAAGTATCAAACTGAGAAAGTGACTCCGTAAGAAGAACGTGTTGTGAAATAGACAAATGAAATTATATAAAAAGTTAAATCGGTAATCTACTGTCATTACATATAAAAAGCTCGTGCCTGTGAAATATCAACAAAACATTAGAAAAATAGCTCACACTAAAGCCTTCACCGAGTATATTCACCGGACAACCTGCTTACAAGCTGCGTGAACCTACTTCACTGCGCATGTGCCCAGCTGTTGAAACCACTTTTCCCCCAAGCGCTGGGGGAAAATTAGTGAAACGTTTGAACTCCGATTTCGCGCGGATGTTTTCATCGCGTTATTTTTCAACTTTATAAGTTGAATTTTCATTTTTGATGATTTGTTTCAGTAAGTCCATACCGAAAGGTATCAGAATCTGCTAAGTTGTTTTTTACGTTGCATGTGACCTTTAATGAGAGCTGAATGTAATTTTAAAAAATATTCACAGTTGTGCCTTGCTATAAGCGACTGACCATCAATATTTCACAGATTTTGTTGAAGACTTTTAATTTTTAACAAAACAGACTCTTTTCCACTAATAGTAGAAGTTAAATTGCTAACTTTTACCATATATTACCATAGATAAGCCATTCTCATAGATAAGCCGAGGTCCTAACTTGACCCCTAAAATCAGTATCAAAATGGTGTTCCGTAGATAAGCTGACCCCCCCAACCTTCGGTCATCTTTTCATACTGATCAGTTGTCAGAAATAGTGACAACAAATCCATATTGAATTACGCAAGTGTATTCTCCGATATTTTAAAATTTGGTCAGCATTATCAACAGCAATCTCTATCATATTGTGTCAGTTCATGCCTGGAAATGCAGAGTAGTTGACAGAAAATGGTGAGTGAGTGAGTGAGTTTAGTTTTACGCCGCACACTCAGCAATATTCCAGCTATATGGTGGTGGTCTGTAAATAATAGAGGCTGGACCAGACAATCCAGGGATCAACAGCACAAACATCGATCTACGCAATTGGGATACGATGACATGTGTCGACCAAGTCATCGAGACTGACCACCCGATCCCGTTAGTCGCCTCTTATGACAAGCATGGGTTACTGAAGATCATTTCTAACCCGGACCTTCAAGGCATAACAGAAAATGGATACGAATACATATTTTGTTCATGCAAAGCGATACGTCGTTTTCTTACCCCCTGAAAAAACGTTTGACGAAAGTGTAACCTGTAGATGAGCCGACCCCTTCTACAAACTGCTTGTTTTGGTCCTCAAAATTTGACTTATCTACGGTAATATACAGTAAATTACATCAAATTACTTTCAAGACAACCAGTTTACCAGAGTTACACGTTATTGCTGCAAAACCTCACCAAATTACTTTTTCAGTATTTGGGGATAACAACTTCTTACAATTTTTTCAAAAATCCCTTGTGACCCCCTAACCATGAATATCAAACTTAAACATTATTCGGATGACATATCATGAAACATGAGACTGCACATACATACATCAAGGGAGACAACCTATCAATGATAGGAGTGGTCCATTACAATCCCATTCATCCCATTCTTAGCTATACATTTTTCCATTTCCAAGAGTATATTCTGAAGTCTTCTGTCCATGGCCTTGAGATGCCTCTCAGTCACGATGGGAGAAACTGGGTCCTGGGCCAGAATTTCCTTCATTACACCACTGAGGACACTATCTTGGAGTGCTAGAAGACGCTGCCATGTGCTGAAGCGGAATCTGTAACAAAGATGCATAGATCAACATTGTATATCAAGCAGTTTGACATGAGACACTTCCATGTGATGCAGGGAATCTGTAACAAGGATGCAGATATCAACATTGTATATAAAGCAGATTGACATGAGACACTTCCATGTGATGCAGGGAATCTGTAACAAGGATGCAGATATCAACATTGTATATAAAGCAGGTTGACATGAGACACTTCCATGTGATGCAGGGAATCTGTAACAAGGATGCAGAGATCAACATTGTATATAAAGCAGGTTGACATGAGACACTTCCATGTGATGCAGGGAATCTGAATAAAGGATGCAGAGATCAACATTGTATATATATCAACAGATTGACATGAGACACTTCCATGTGCTGAAGGGAATCTGTAACAAGGATGCAGAGATCAACATTCTTTTGGGGATAAAGTGACAGTGGGTGTTGCCATGTGTTGCTAACTGTGTCACCAAAATCAAAGATATTTGACATATTTGACTTAACTGATTAGCTGCCACAAAATAGTTAACTCCAGAACTTGATCATGTTAATGCAACTGAATACATCCCAGACTATTTCAGTATTTAATGTTTCATTTATATGATTTATTATCAGGAAGTGTTTTTGAGTTTTTTTAAAATATTTAATGTCATACTCAACAATATTCCAGCTATTGATGGCAGCCTTTAATAAGCCTGGACCTATTCTGCTCCTGAATCCCCATTGGGTTTTGTCTTGATAATGTGAACTTTTAACAACAATATTTGGTAAGAAGAGACTCTAAATACATTTGTTTCATTCATATGTCAAATACATGTCAAAGAAACTGTCATTTCTTGTATCTAGGTTTGTACTGATGTTCAACAATCCATGCTTGTCATACAAAGCAGCTATACTTCTTGTAAGAGGTTACTAAAGGGATCTTAATTGATGGCAGGTAATACCATGAACAATGTCATAGATCGTTGTTGACAATTAGGGCTGGATATTGCCCTGATTCTCATATTGCAATATATTGCAATAATTTAAGAGATATTGCAATATATATTGTGATATATTGAATGGAGGGTTTCTGCCCAAGTCGCGCATCAAAAATTCATAATAGCTCTGTGTGTGTGCGACATTATGTTCTTAGTTGCTGTTACACCATACTTTCAGGCTCCCAGTCCTCATTGTGCATGGCTGTATGCCAATGGTTTACAGATAAATAAAATAAGCCTTGTCAATGAATGAGTTAACAGAGGAACTAGATAGGAATACAAAAACATTTTCCTCGCATGAAGCTAGCACTCGGACCTCGTCGACAATTGTTATTCCTGCATGTGGGAGTTTATATGGAGGTTCTGTGAAAGAAATAATAGAATTGCTTGTACTAGTCTAAAATAACTTGAAGGACGTCGAACATGATTATCTGTTTCTTAACTTTACGCAATTGGTTGCTTCAAATTCATTTCCCTTGGGCAATATTGCATTCATGCTGTTTTCTGAAGTGGTATCGTGGTATTCACTCCACAACACGGTACTGATGAGATACAGTGAGGTTACAAAGTGTTTTGGGAGAATTGGGCTGAAAAACACCGGCACAGTGACAAAGGGAAAAGTCCCTAGTGGTGTGTATGTTCCTAATGATTCCAAAATAAACTTTGCAGTTCCTGATAAAACTGTTCTGGACAGAATGAAAGGTCCTTTTGAAGACAACCAACTTGTACCTTCTTGCACATGCAGGACAGGATTGCTAAAACTGACCTAAAACAGGTTAACACTTACAAAATGTGTGTCATCACACGAAGCTCGTATTTTGGAAAGTTGTGAAGAAATTTTTAACAGTTTGGAATTTTGTGAATTAGAACAGGTTACCTAACTTCTTCCTTAAATAGCTGGTATGATGAAGTGGAACATGTTTTTATGGATAGACAACTTCTTTGTTGTAGTAGTTAAGGACAAGTTTCAGTGTAGATCCTACCACTGTTATCAGATCTAACAAAAAAAGAGTACTTCAAGTCGTTGGGTCATGATGTCAATAAGATTTGCAGTGGTCAAAGTTAGACAGATGAGACAACTCAGAGTTGGAGAAACTCCAGCACATGACAAATTTCTTGAAAAGCTGTAACTTGTGATTGGAGACATTCCAAATATGCTTTCATAATAAGTTCTCTCAAAACAAGATATATCAGTGTCTGTTCTGGCTTAAATTTTCTTGGGGTCACTTGGACCCCTTCTTTTAAAATTAGGGGTCCTCCCAAAAATGGATGGGTCCATATTTTGGTTTGTAATATAGCATAAACAACACAACACATTGGTGTAAAAATCAGATTTCAATTTGGAACTGCGAAAACATCAACAATATTAGTTTTAGCAAAACAGCTTTCTTTTGTCACTTCTCCATTTGGTGACGGCTGGTGCAAGAGAAACATCCCTTACGGGAGGCCCTAGAGCCAGCTGCATCAGCGTGTCAAGCCACATGATGATAGCCTGTTTCTGTGTGACCTCTTTATGAGGTTTTGAACACTGAAACCCCTCTCAACAGTTGCTGTTTGAAGGGGCAACAGGACAGCCACTTGTGCAATCTTGAACAGATTTGGAAATGTATCAGGGTGTCTTGACGACAGTATCTGCCATAACTGACAGATAGCCTGGATTTTCAGCAGCCTGGCTAGTAACCAGGGCAAGGCGATGAGCAACGCAGTGGACACCGATGACAGGCACAGTTGATTCCTTGTTGAGCAATGCTACGAAACCATTCTTGCGTCCAGTCATAACAGCAGCCCCATCTGACCCCACAGCAATGATTTTGGACATAGGAATGCTACGATCCTGTAATGTTTTTTGACAGTTTCTAGAAGAGTAGTAGCCTTGCCATCAGGAATTTGCACATTAGCAAGGAAATTTGTTTCAACATCAAATTCTGAATTGAGAGATCTTGTGTAGATTAGGAGTTTCTTTGTAACTGATATATCTGTGCTTTCATCAATCAATATGGATATACAAGGACTAGCACTGATTTTGTTGGTTACTGAGACACGAAAGGAATTAGCTATTGCATCTTGCATGTCGTCATCTGCACAGTGAGATGTGTATTTCATAGAGTCTGAATCACAACCTAATGTTTTTGGAAATGATAGCCCATGAAGCATGCATAATTCCATCAATGCAGCACATTTTGATGAGGCAATCTGCTCCTTTGCCAGCCAGTATATATTCAGCATTGCAGATTGAACTGCACATTCCTTGTCATTTAGCACTTTGAAAACAACTGTGGACATGTTCTGTCTCAGAGATGTAGCTTGAATAGCAGAATTGTGGTCATCAGCTTTCATGTGCCTTACCAGAGTGGAATGCCTATAATTATGGCAGCCAACAGTAAATGCATTGGTCTTGGTTTCAGAAATACAAACATGACAAGTCATACCAAGTGATGTGTCAAATCTTAACCAACTGTACTTTGTAAGCCAGTCACTTTGAAACCGTTTTTCAACTTTTGTTTCTTTGGCAAAGGTTCATTTTCCGTGTCATTGTTTTCACCAGTTTTCTCAGCTGGTGATGGTTTTGAGCAGTAGTATTGCCAAACCAACTGACTAAACTTGCCTGAATACGATGGCTTGTCATCGCTGGAGCTGTCAAATTTATGCTAGCGTAGTAAACGACTTCCTTATAAGGATGTGCCGTATTTCACAGAACAAGGTAAATAACAAACTTTCGTGGACAGTGATTCTATATTCACGTACATTGACAAATTTCAAGAATTAAAAACACAACTAGTCTGTTGTAGAATATCGAAATATTTAGAGTCGACAAAAGAAAAACAACGCTCATATTCAAGTTTTCGCATTTATTCTGTATTATACATATTCTGTTGCTTGTTCGCGCCGTTATCCCGTTTTGAAGTATACCCTTATGCGTGCCTGGCTATTTTAGTTTGACACAAGGTCGATGATGTTTTAACCAATCGCCAAGCTAACAACGTTGCCGAAAGCAGCTTCATAGGCTGTATCTGATTTGGCTGACGGAAACCCGGACGGACCATACCGCATTACATTAACATATGCAAAACTGAAAATATATGTAGGTCAAGCAACCGGTTTGAGTAGTGGTGATAAAAAGTGCGAGACAAATAAAACCGGTTTGGTTTAACAACCGGAAGAGTTTATCAACATGTTTCGCAGACTGTTCGACATTAAATAACCCAGTACGCCAGGATATGCACACACAAAGCCGTACGTTTTTGATTTGTGATATGAAATTAATACTGCTCGAGTCAATGCGTCCACGAGACCCACACGTTACGCAGGTGCGTTCAAACTCATATTTGTGCGTCCAAGACGCAAAAAAGCGCTCTTCAGCCAACACTGTATATATATACATACGTTGAATGTGTCCAAATATATCAATAAAGCGCACCTTTAAATAAGCTCTCAGTCAGGACGTTATTCAGTTACGCACTGTATTCCATACAGAGAAACAAACAGTTTCGGCTATAATCCAGTACAGCAATGCTGCATTATTGCCAGTGAATTCATTGATATCGTCATAACTAAACAACTTTGAAACATGAAAATTCACACATACATTGTAAAATCTGTTACGAATAGAATACTGGTAGCTCTTTAGGCTAACATGATGGTATATGTGAGTAAAAGCGAAAGCGCACAAGTTTGTCGAATTAGGCCCGATGCTCAAGAGGTGAAAAAACTTGTGTTTTCATTAACATACAGATATCTCGCTAATAATTACTGTAACTGTTATATCGAAATTATCTAATGTTGTAGGCAGCCTATTTGCATGTAAAATTATACTGTACTTTTTCTTTAAATACACGCTTTTTGATCGAAAGCATACCTGTTCAGACGACATATCTATGAACCAAAGCACGTAGTGCATTACAGCACACTATATCCGGTTTGCACTGTATGGGATCATACACTGTGCTTAATTCCTCAAAATGTCACATATGAAACCATTCAAACCCACAAAATGTAACCCATTTGGAAGAATATTTTGCACTTTTGGAGCCACTTACAAAGATACTCCCACTTGTAAAAAAAGTTACATGAAACCAACAGAAATAAAAGTATATTTGGCACTTTTAGAGCACATTTTTTGCTTGGAAATCAAGGGCAGATAATGCAAAGGGAGCTAACTCTGGATGACCCGATATATTGCAGAATCTGAACCATATCACGATAATCGTATCGCGAGATACTGTACCGTATATACCGGTTTATGAGTAATATTGCACAGCCCTATTTACAATATCAATCAGAGGATGTCCGTCAATTCATTATACTCTGCTCTCTTTATAAGTGGAATATTGCAGTGTTAAATACAAATAAACCTTCGCCATTCAGAAGGAATCCTCTTTTATGTAGTGCAAATACATTCGATGTAAACAGTGATTTGACAAGAGATATGCTACCATATTGTTCAAAAACAAATTCTAAATAAAAACAAATGTTTTTCATTATCATATGAATCACTATCAAATAGTGATGACACCAGGTTTTTTAAATATTTGTAGCAATGCAAGGTTTTAGCCAAAAGTGAGCTTATCCTGCCCCACAAATGGTGCCGAACATGATGCCTGAAGTCTTGGCACACAAGCGATATTTTGAACAAGCATTGTCACTAAGGTGACATAATCCCCACCATAAATTATCAAATCAAACTTAAAAAGTAATGAAAGTGAAGGTTGTAGTTTAAGATGAAGTTAAATGTCAACCAAAAAATGAATGTCATGGTGTATGAAATATGCAAATATGGTAATAAAGAAATTGCTCATCAAACTTATTCAAGAGAAGTCTTGAAAGTCTTTGAAGAAAATCCAGTGAACGGTTCTTGAGATATCTTGTTGACAATGTTATGCATGTTAACATGCTGATATCTTAAAAGTGACCTTGAAAAAAATTATGGCGAAGGTCACCAAACTCGACTGGAGCCCTGCGCTTTCAACCGGTTTTAGCAAATATTCCAGCAATATCAATTGAATAGGCTTCACACATTATACCCATGTAGGAATCGAACCCAGGTCTTCAGCGAGATCAGACAGGCGGTGTAACCATTAGGCTACCCCACCACCCTGTTGTGCCCTTTGAAAATTCACGTGAAGGTCTCCAAAATCAACCTGGGCCATGCACCTTCCCTAGATGAAGCATGGTGTCAAAAAGTATTTCTGTGACCTTGAAAAATATGTGAAGGTCACCAAAATGGACTGTGCCCTGCACCTTCCTAGATGAGGCTTGCTGTCCAATATGAAGAAAATGTCGAATATGAAGAAAATGGGTTCTTGAAGAAAATGTCGAAAATGAAGAAAGTGAACAGTTTTGAGATAGGAATAATTTTGCTAGTATTGCAAATGAACAATTTTGCTAGTATTGCAAAAAACTTTCCAGGCGTAATGACATCTCTCATTTGTTAAGCAATTATTCCGGTCCATGTAAGTTACGTGATAAAACAATGTCAAGAAGTCCAGATGTTCGGCCTACCGGGTAATTCCTTTAACACAATGTACTTACTTCACAGCAATCACTAACATATTGGCGCCTACTCACGCCTCGAAAAAGAAGTGTAGTTGACAGTAAATAGCTACGCCGATACATATTTTGTTTCGCCAAAAGTCATAATTAGTGTAACTGGACGATCACATGTCAATAAACAGCTTTGGCAGTGGGAATAGCGAGATCGCTAAAACCTCATCGGGTGACGGGTTAAATTGTTCCATGCATAATAACTATCCGGCAATACACCAAAAGCTGTCGCGATAACCTTAGTTAAGATTATAAGTATATTACATTTATAAGGCACAACCTGCAATGAAAATGACACAATACTAGAATATATTTCTATCTATAAAACAATAGTTATAGATGCTATCTTTTCAAGATCATCAGAATTCATCTCAGAATATTATCGGGTAACGCTTTAACTAAATCACCGTAGGGGAACGTGTGCACTGCACAGCTGATTGCTATTTCCGGGCGCCTGTATACTCGATACAATTACACACGGAAATCTTAATCCCTGCATCTAAGAAAATGCAAAACAAATGCAAAAACAAATTAGAACTGAATAGGTAAATAATCATTTCTAGCGATGTTTAATTGCAAATTTGACGCCTTTGGTCTTCTCTTGTATGTTCGCTCATACGATACAATGTATTGTCAACAATTAGACTTGTTTTACAAGAGGAGGACTCGCGAAAACAAACACGACGTAGAACTGGATGGGTTGTTGATCACGCGAAACATTGACGACGGGGAACTTTGTAGATTTACAGTATCAAGGGTAAAACTTAAAGTCCCCTTGTGACCTTGAAATGAAGGTCAAGGTCACCAAACCTGACTGGGATCTTTTGGATGCTGTGATGAACCTGGGTACCGAAAATGAAAAAATCTAGTCAACGGTTCTTAAGATATTCCAATTAGATGTACATATGTACGGAAGGACAGGCGGAGCTGGTTTTAGTCAAAGGTTTTAGCAATGTTTTAGCCAAAAGTGAGCTTTTCCTGCCCACACTAAAGGCACCTATAACCATGCATCCCAAATCGGTACAAATGTGATTTCTTTGCCATAGCTACAGAAAGAACACTAAGACACATACATATTTCATACAATATATAGTATGACCAGAAATTATTGAGAATTTTAGGAATATGTTTAATTGGATTTCTGGTATAAACAACCTTGACCAGCTATCAAGTGCTTGGTTTCATTCATGAGAGACAACTCTGTTAATCCTTTTCATTAGTTTGTGAATAGTTATCCCCTTTGTTTACTTGCTAGCAGACGACATTTTCAGTGACCCTCAGTATGGATGATTTAGAGAAGAGGAAGTTGATTTTAGAGTATTATAACAAGGACATCAGATCAGCTAAAGTGATTTCTGGCAGAACAGGCATCCCTTTGTTCACTGTTTATCATGTTTTCAAAAATATTGCAAATGGATATGGCATTGAGCACCAGGGAGGTTGCAGGTAGGCACAGAAAATTGACTGTCGGTGACAGGAGGCGGCTTGGTATTCTTGTTTCTAAAACAAACAAAGGAGTTTAGAAAACTTAAGGCTGGATATGATTGATAGAGGAACTGTGGCTGTCTGTAAGGAGACAATTAGAACTGAGCTGCATGCAATGGGCTGGCAGAAAAGTCAAGGAATTCCATCACCGATCATGAAACCTGAACAAAAAGAGCAAAAGGTTGAACTTGTGCTTACAGCATAGAAATTTTACCTGGGACAATGTGATTTTCTCAGATGAAAGTTCTGTGTGGCTGTTTCCTAATACACTGAAATTCTGGACCAAACAAACTGAAAAACCTTTGTATCAGCTTCAAAGTACAGTCTGAAATTTAACGTGTGGGGTGGCATATCTGTGTTGGGGGTAACGCCTCTGTGTATTTGAAGGGAATATGAACAGTGAGCGTACACAGATATTCTCGAGGGACATTTACTTCCATCTGCTCACGTGTTCTATGGGAATTTTGGGAATATTCCCCAAGAGGACAACGACCCAAAACATCGCTTCAAAGCATTCACAGTCCTGATTTCGGACCCAAAATATGACATTATTAGATTGGCCAAGCTATAGCCCTGACCTAAATCCAATAGAAAATGTTTGGGGACTTATGAAGGAAAGTGTCAATAAGAAAAATCTGACAAATATTGCTGAAATGAAAGAAGAGGTGGTCCGATATTGGGACAGCATGGACCACGACTTTCTAACTTCTTTGATCAGTAGTATGCCCCACCACATTGAAGCCTGCATTGCTGCCCATGGTGACTTGACAAAATACTAACTGTTCACCTGTCTTTGAATCTGGAGTTATGTTCTGCTAATATTCACATTTAATACGTGAGTAATGAGTGAAATATTTTTAAAAATTACAATCTTTAAATTCTCAATAATTTCTGGTTGTACTGTACTTACTTGCAGCACTGATAGAGTGGAGCCAATATTGACCTTTCATCCGCATCAGGATCCCCAAAGCTGAAAACAAAACAAATATATATATCTTTAATGAGCAACAACAAAACAAAAAGAAAGTGATAATGTGAATTTTTTTGTCTGTTTTAATCAGTAGCAACAAAAATGGGCACTATGTTAGTCCTTGTGAAACTGCCCAACAATTACAGCATCAAAAGAAATAGAAAAAAAACATGACAAGTTTATGGGATTTGCTAAGTGTCATCATTATAGGGACTAGTGGACTAGAAAGTTAATTTATATCACTGGTAGGATTTCATGACTGTAAGAAATAACTCAGTCGTACCTTTTGGCATTGTCGAGAATAAGCACCATGTTTTCTTTGCTGGCGGCTGAAGTGTTCATAATGATGGCGATCAGCATTGCCTATGAGGTAGTCAAATATTGCTGTGTCAATGAGATCGAGGAGGAAGGTGCCAGAGCTGTACATCTTCACCATCTGACCTTACTGCAGTAGTCAGAGTCGGTCTCCCATCTGAAACACACACTTTCATTCAGAGACTGCATGGATTTTGTGCTTGTACTCTTCAAACTAAGTAATATTGCAAAGATTTAGCAACAGAATATCTTTTGTTTGTTGTTTAACACAGCACAGGCTATTCCATATATATATATGACAGCAGTCGGTTAATGAATAAGTCTGACTGAACAATTCTGTGATTGATCTTATGAGCATCAGTCGATGCCATCATGGTATGACCCTATCCACTGTTACAGAGCCATTCAATTAAGATGCCTTTTATGACCATTATAGGTTCCTTGGGGATCAAATCCAAGCTGAAATGTCTACATAAATATGTCATTTTCACACCATGCAAGGCATATTTTGTAATAATACCTGCAAAATATCAAAGTAAAGGGCAGAAATGACATTTTCAATTTGGCTTCCATTTCAACCATGCTTCAAATATGATCGGAGGGGCAAGTTAAAAATTTAGATTTGTGAAATGTACTTTAATGTAATATAGATGTGAACAGGTACGAGAGGGGAGAAAAATGGGGAAAAAATCAACATTTGAACCAACATATATATTATCAGTACCATAGGAAACTATGTAAGCATGACTTACTTTGCTATGCTTTTTTTGTGTAAGTACGAGACCATGGATGTCGCGACTGTTTTAAGAGTCCACTCGCGCAAGGCAGCCACATGACTATAGTACCTTCTAATATTTGACCTTTTGCACATACTCCGTCATCTGACCCTTGCAGTACAAGCACTTGCCATAGAAACAGTTGTTGTCACCTAGGAGCAGAGACTTGGCAAGTTAGAAGTGTGTCTGTGAGTGTTTAACATTGCACTCAACAATATTCCAGCATTTTATGTTGAGTTGTGAATAATTGTGTCTGTACCTGACAAAGCCATGATTGATATCATGAGCATTGACACCCCATCCAGCAAGTCAGTAAGACCACCTAATCCATTGAGTTGCCTCTTAAGGAGGTTGGATACAAAATATCAAAATGTCAAGAAATTGCTAAATTTGGCATTATTTTGTAGAAAAATGTGTCCCAAATCTAATTATGTAATAAAAATAGCAAGTCAGCCACAGCATTTGTTTGATAAGTGGCTCTTTGTGGCACCATCTGTAAAAAAAGTAATATGTCAACAAAAGTTCTCTTTAAAAAGTAAATTGTTTAATACTTTTATTATTCAATATGTATTTTTTAATAAAGATATTTCAGTATTGATATGAAATAAGCTTTCAGGAAAATCAATTTTCAAGGTAGTATGTAAGATTTGATACATTAATTATTGATTCATCAATGAATTGTTTTTTATAATAACAAGATATTTTTATAAAATGAATTTTTATAGTAAATTCACACTAGATTAATATTAAAAATCTAAAAAATATGTTACCAGAGGGTATCAACATTATCTCCAATTAAACCTCAGGATGAATGGCATGTTTATTCAGGGGAGATAAGCGATGGTGGAAGTATGATTGAAAGGAAGATAAAGATAAATAACTGAGTAACATAATACGTGCTCCTACTGTCACATCCCTTTGCATACGGTATGCGCACAAACAAAGGTATCCAACCTCTTTAAGATGAGTATGATTTCTGGTGTCCCCCGCCGTGATGTTGCTGGAATATTGCTAAAAGCGGCGTAAAACCAAACTCAGTCAGTCAGTCAGTCAGTAAGATGAGTATGAGTTGAATACTGCCTGTTGAAGTAAAGCAGTACACAAATAAACAAACAAGCATTGTAACTAGGGCTGTGCAATATAACCTGTTTACCGGTATTAACCGGTTCAGACATGAAACCGATACGTATTGCGATACGATGATCAAACACTGGTATCTTGACATGCATTCGGAAAACTTCGTTACACTCGGAAACCTTGATGATCGTGGCAATTTTTTAACTGTGGTAATGGTGGTGGGAATGATCGTGGTGAAAATTACATTAACTGAGACCGCAAGATTTATGGATGCAAACTTCTATATTGTGTATGAACTTGACATCCACAAATCTTGCTTTTCTTAAGCATTCCACTTCTAAAGGCCCTTCAAAGATTTTACATTTAACTTGATTAAGTTCGGTATATGGTGCCGTTTTAGCCCAGAAATCAGTAGCCGTTTTTGCCAATTTGGTGCCGTTCTGCTGTGGTGCCGTTTTAGCGATAACCCTGATAAAGTTGTGTTCGTAATTTTTGTTCAAGTGTTTACGCAATGTTTTAGATCTGAATGTTTTAAATATTTACTCATTAATGACCAATGATCCCGATATGTCCTGACTAGGTCAAGTTGCTGTCTATAATCTCAGGGCTTTTATTGAGAGTGGAGAAAGTACGGTAGTTCATACTAGTAACTGCTCTGTCTATGTTTTCCTTGTTTCATTTGTGCCAAATATTATTTATATTTTTATTTTGTCATGGTTAAAAGTTTTATTAAAGCTTAATCAAGCATAGTGATTTTGTTGTGTTTTGCTTTATAAATAATCGTTAACTCGTTTATAAGTAGTTTATTGTTACAAAACTTCTTGCAATACTAGTATATTGCAATACATATCTTAATATATGCTTTTGCATCCCAATATATCGCAATATGAAAATTCTCTGCAATACCCACCCCTAATTGTAACAGCATATGATCACATAAAGTATGTAAACAGGAACAGCACTAATCAGCATGATCAGCAAAGGAATAATCATTATGCCGTTGTTCCAAATGCACTATTAATGAGAAATGTAACAATAAGCATTGAAAATTAATTGCATTCTCAAAGCCTCATCTTTCTAAATTGAGCGGGATTTGGAGGTCTTGAGTCATTATCCAATAATAGCAATACATATTTCACAAGGAATCCATAAATCTTTCCTTCCTGCCCAAACCCCTTGACTTTCATGCTTATTCTAAACACTGACACTGTGCAATGATCCATAAGGTCAGGGTATATAGACGTGTCATCAAGAAAGCAATACAGTATGCCCACAAGAACTATTCACCCATCCCCATGATTCTCAGTTTAGTCATCCGGCTGTGAAGCAATATGGTGCTTAGGGCCACATTGAATCTCAGGATGTTCTGTGAGTGCATTGAATGTTGCACTCTCAGTATTCCAGCCTTACGAGAGAGGTACATAAATATTAGAGGCAGGATCAGACAGGAGCTTACACTGCTCGCATTGCCTATCCCAACTACAAAAACATACACAATCCACACTTAAAATATGGGGGTCCGCTGTAGAAAACATTGCTTTGCATTGAGTGCAACACTTCTTCCTAGTAGGATTATCAGTTTTCCCCATGTTGTAAGGGGCGGAACAGAAACTTAGAAAAACTTCTTAGGGATTGCAGTATACATCCACACACCAGTGCGACAAGAAAAAGAATGACTAAGGAGAGATAAGTCACTTGAGCAGGTAGTGGTGCATGCTGCATGCTTCCCAGGAGTCACCTATGACGTCCTTATAAAGGGGCAGCATTGAGTGCATGGGCATATAGAAAAGAGAGGCCTAGGATTTTATATGCTGTCTGTTTCCACTCAGCAGGTCGAACTGATGAGAGAGAGTACAAGATGTGAGATAGGATAAGTTTAAAAAAGTAATATTTTCTATGTGTGAATCCCATCATGTTTAATGACATCAGATGAATTAAAACATCAGTAGTAAAGCTTAGAAATATTGAAAATTAGTGTATTGGTTCAAAATAGTAAGTTGTGTGACTTTTCTGGAATACTGTGGGAAGGCACACAATATTTCTTCGATCAATTTGAGAGGGACGGACTCTTGATCTTACACACTGATTATATTAAGGCACATGTTGGAGTAAACTGTAAATTCACCCCCGTGAATAATACTGTGAAACACTAAACATGGAGAACACATGTATCTGGCAGGGTTAGTCTGTAGATGATCAATCCAAGGCGTGAAGAGACGAAATAATGTTGACATCAAGCTACCACAGCGGTCATACCTTTGGTGAAGAATGTTGCCTTAAGTTCTGGCGTTGCTACCGGCAAGATCTCAGTCTTGAGGTTCACCCTTCTTCCCACAGCCAGAGGGGTGCGTCGGAATTGTAACACTCTGTAACATAGGCAATCAAATGGGCTAATCACTGTGTGAAGCATTATGTTCTGCCAATGTGGGAACTTCTCTTCAAGTCTCTGGGTTTCACATGTCCAGAGCATATCCTTTATGAGTCTTGGCCAGACAATCCAGAGACATCATGAGCATCAATAACAGAGTTTAAATACAATGACATGCTATTCATATGGATTTACTTGGACCATTCTCAGAGACAGATTTTTACCCAAAATTGAAACAATTGTTACCCAAAATCTGAAACAATTGTCCTATATGGGAAAATAAATATTCCAAGTTATGTTATTACAGATGCAAGTAATGTTCCCAGAATTAGGAACATATGAATTTTCAAAAATCCCAATAATGAACAAAGTAATCTCAATTTGAATGACAGGGTAATTAGTGAATGATCAACAGATCTGATATGATTAAAATTCATTCCAGCTTGACAAAAATCTGTATCGAAACGTCGAAACAAAAGAAGTTGTTATCCACAAAGTTTGCTCAAGATAATTAAAATATTGGTCTCACCTTCCAAGATGGAAAGCAGCTATTTCTGCACAGGCGATCTCTTCCACATTCAGGGTGTCCCATTGATAATATAAGATCATACCTTATTGAGGATCTGATATATATATATATGAAGTTCTTGATTTATTTTTCCGATCAAATGTGGGCCCTCCAATTTCAGAGATGATGATTTATTACCAGCTTGACAACTGGGTCCCGATACGCTCAGAATCTGTATCGAAACGCCGAAATAAAAGAAGTTGTTATCCCCAAAGTTTGCTCAAGATAATTAAAATACTGGTCTCACCTTCCAAGATGGAAAGCAGCTATTTCTGCATTGTGGCGATCTCTTCCAGCATAGGGTGTCCCATTGATAATATCGCGGTCTTGCATACCTATATTGGAGGATGCATATATATATATATATACAATTCATATATATGAAGTTCTTGATTTATTTTTTCCTGATCAAATGTGGGCCCTCCACCTTCAGAGATGATGATTACTAAGTATAATTTGTGCTCTGAGAATATATAAAATAACACAAGATCATTATAACATTACGTTAGATGGTCAAAATACAGTCCAACATTAAACATTAAAAACCAAAAGAACATAGTAAACATGGAAAAAGTATGCCAAAATTTTAAAATGGCGCCATGATATTCATAATTCTCTTTACATTATGGCTGTTATAATGTTATAATTTTGTTTAAACATCTTGAATAATTTCAGATTGGCTAAAGGGAACATATGCACATGATGTAGTTTCAGCCTCAATGGTCATGTAGTTTCCCAGGAGACACATTTTACAATATAGGTGCATGATCTCACAATGAAGAGGTCAAATATAGCCAAACCCCCACTCCCCCTACCCCCAAAAAAAAACCCCCATGAAAACAGAACATGGGTTGTTCCCAACTACTACACTTCACTTTGAACAATAACAAAGCACTGTAGCTAACAACAGATAGTTGACACTTAAAGTTGTCAACAAATGAAAGTTGCTCTCAGCATGTTTATTCATATGGGGTGGCCTGGTCGCTAAAGATAACTATGAAACAACCTATTTTGCACATTGTATCTAAACAAGCCAATGTTCTTCCTAGCGGTACAACATGATTAAACTTACCATGCAAAGAGTTTCAGGTCTCACCCTATACAGGTCGATATACTTAAAAAGGGTAATAATTTGCCTAATGAAAATTTCCATTATATACTCTTCAACAAAGAAACTTGACATGCTGTTTTGGAGTTTACTTACTGAGTGCATATAACTGATTTAAACGTGACATCATTGCTCAGTTACAGTAAAATCAAATTTCCAAAACATGATTATCCAGAAAGTGTTTGGTAAAACCAGAGAGGGCTATTAAAGACACTTGGTCAGAGTAAAATGTGTATATCTGGTGTGACCAGCATGAGCATCGATAACAGCTTGGCTGCGTGACCCATAGAAGGAAGGAGATGCCGAATGCTGTCTTGAGGAATGTTTTGATACACTTGCTGAAGTGCTGTGTGCAGTTCTTATAGTGTCTGAGGTGGCGGATTACACTGGCGCAAGCATCGATCAAGAGTATCCCATAGATGTTCAATGGGGGACGAATCCGGTGGTCGAGCATTGTCATGCTCCAAAGATCATGTTGATGTAGGGAACGACGTGACGTTGAACAGGCCTTCTGGCAAAAAGTCTGACTTTTTATAGCCATTTGCACTGTCTGGTCGGAGATTCGGACCAGTCCAAGGATTTTTTTGTGGATGATGTGGCCGTGGTGTTTGAACGAAAATATCTAAACCGGATGTAGCGGTCCTGGGCAGCAGTGGTAACTCCAGGTCAACTTGACCTGGGTCTGTCATAAACACTCCCAGTATTTGTGTATCGGGTCCATAGGTCAGTCTTTTGATTCCCATGTCGTCTATAGTGGCTTAAAGCAATGCATGTGGAGTACCATTGATGTGGCTTTTTAAAGCCTACAGTCATAGGCTTCAGCTCAGGGTGATACACAATTTCATGATGCTCGTGCAATTCATGTAGAGTACGTTTTAGCGATTCACTACAGACGTGAGTGTAACGTTACGCTTTTGTTAAACGTTTCTTTTTTCAAATGTTTTGTCGTGGGCAACTACTCCCCCACATGCTGGTATTCAGCATGGATTGGTTTGTGTCAAATATTTTCCTAAAATAGTAAAATTCAAATTTGTCCCATGTCAAGTTTCTTTTTTTGAAGAGTATATAAAACACATGCCCTTTTATGAAAACATACACTCCAAAAATCATTATAAAGAAATGATTACACCATTATGTATCAGTGTGTGTGTGTCGGTTGCCTAACACTGTATTCAGCAATATTCACACTTTATCATGTTTATAACAGTGATCTATCAGTATGTAATAAATACTCACATAATCCACAAATACCTCCCCTGTTACAACAGCCGTGATTTACCACAGGGCCGTGATTAACCACAGGGAACGCCATGTAATAACTAATGAAGATAATATATTCTGAAAGTGCAGGTAGAAAAAAGTCTAAAAATTGAAAAGCAATAAAAAACACACACCATTCTGGTTTAAAAGCCACAATTTGACCTCCTTTTAAAGTTAGAGACAGCTTAAGTTGTGTTCCTTTGACACCAACATCAGCAGCAATTATTGGTCTGGTTGCAAAGTTCTCTCAAGACTGCTCCTGTGAAGAAAATAATTATTATTAATTTACCCTTAAATTCTGTATGATAAAACTTTGTACACCATACAAAATTGCAAAAGAAATTAAAACATAACTCTGTCAGAACTGAACATAATTAAATTTTTATGGTCTAAACATACCATTGCTTTTATAGTTACCTTAATGCAACTAAGACAAAACAAGTGTTTGCCACTGATATGGCAATGTCCCCTCACGCTAAAGAATGGAATATCTATATTTACTACTTTCAATTTTGGTCACATACAAGATGCCTGAAATGACTGGTGTCTGCATAATCACCAAATGTAGGCTGTCAACATAATTGAAAACATTGGGTGCAATGTTTTATGAGATACCGTGTTTAAAAAAGTTTGAAAGCGGTCAAAGTGTCGTGGTGACCCTGAAGATAAGGTCAAGGTCACCCAAATAAACTGGTGTCTGCGTAATCCCCAATGTAGGCTGTCACCAAATTTTAAGACATTGGGTACAACAGCCCATGAGATAACGCGTTAACAAGTGTTAAAAGTGTGCAAAGTGTTATGGTGACCTTGAAGATAAGGTCAAGGTCACCCAAATAAACTGGTGTCTGCTTAATCCCCCAATGTAGACTGTCACCAAATTTGAAGACATTGGGTACAACAGTCCATTAGATGTTGCGTTAACAAGAGTTTGAAAAATGTTCAGTGTCATGGTGACCTTGAAGATAAGGTCAAGGTCACCCCAATCGACTGGTGTCTGCGTAATCTCCCAATGTAGGCTGTCACCAAATTTGAAGATATTGGATACAACGGTGCATGAGATATCACTTTAACAAGAGTTTGAAAAGTGTTCAAAGTGTCATGGTGACCTTGAAGATAAGGTCAAGGTCACCAAAATCGACTGGTGTCTGGGTAATCCCCAATGTAGACTGTCACCATATTTGAAGACATTGGGAAGAACAGTTCATGAGATATCGCGTTAACAAGAATCAGCACGGACGGACGGACAGATGCTGCTGAATACATAGTCCCCCGTTCCACGTTGCGGTGGGGGACAAAAAAGCAGTTCATAAACATGAAATTTTGCCAAAATGTATTCACATGATCATTAAATAGGTTCCATGTGAAACCTGAGTGCTGTAGATATGTTTAGGCATATACCCAACAGCCAACACATGCAAATACTGAGTAAGGAAAAAGAACAGCATCATGGGTTGCTTGTGATATGGTTGTAGCCAGTGATTTCATCTATACCCAGCTCTAGAGGTTATCACAAAACGTGTTATATTTTCTTACCCCATATACCAGTACTCGGAAAAATATTGCAAAATGTATGATTGTATACCGGTACAGAAGTAATACTCCTTTGTGAGGCATTTAGAAGTTGGAGCAGTAAGGATGGATAACAATAAATGGATGAACAACTTTTTATTGCAGTGAAAGCTCTCACAGTAATAAAGAAGTTGATCATCCATACATTGTTATCCATCCTTAGAACTAATAGAAGTAATACCATGCAGTCCTAATTAAAGAATCCATAAAATGCCACAAAAGTGCACTTTCATTTCTTTTCTTTCACTCAGGATATACTAAGAGCACAGGTGAGGGCTCCATTTGACATTCGCATTTGAGGATACCCAGATAATTATAATGGTCTTTGCAATACATGTATCTCCATCGTTTACTGAATGCATCTATCTTTGGCATCATAAACATTTACAAACAGGGGTAAAATATCCCTGTGTCTGATGTCTAAGAAAAGTGAATTTTCATTTCAGGTAAAGAAAATCTGCTATCACTACCATAAGGGTAAGTGTGTGATTATAGTTTTACGCTGCTTTTAGCAATATTCCAGCAATATCAAGGCGGGGGACACCAGAAGTGGGCTTCACAAATTGTACCCATGTGGGAAATCGAACCCGGATCTTCTGCTTGAGGAGCGAACGCTTCAACCACCGGGCTATCCAACCACCCCACTACCATAAGGAACATAGCTAAATGTTTATACTGGAATTCAGGTATCTTTGATCAATAGTGTCCAGTGCACTTGAAATTCAATGACGACATCAGTTATTCTTATGTTTATAGAATGGGAATCATATGGCTCTCATCTACCGTTATTTATCACTTTATTTAGTCATACATCTTTCAGACGCCTCACATGTTAACTGCCCATTTGGCTAAGTCTTGGGTATCATGTGCAAGTCTCCTGTTTCAAAATCCTTATCTGCCTCTGAACTTCCTACTGAGTGATATAATATAATATTGGTGCACAGTAATGTGTAAATTCACTCTCAGTACATGACTCCTGATTCAACTTACCTAATTCTGGAACCTTTTCTGGATGTATATGCCTATTGTCTATCCACTTGGCTGCAATTGTCCATGGAGACTGTCCACCCAATGAATATTTCCAGTCAACTTTGTACTCCTCCACCTGGCTTTTAATCACCATCTCAAGGGGCACTACACCTCCATCGATCAGAGAATTATCACTATCCTTTCGTTGTCTCCTTATCTCTGGTTCCAATATCTTGAAGGACACAAACAGCATGAACGCAGCACAAGCAAAGATAACTAAACGCACTTTCAACTTCATCATGTGGCAGTCATATCCTGCAACGCTTCTATCCTGAAAAATAATATACATGTTAGTGAAAATTAAAAAAAAAAAGGCATGCAATAAATGTTGGTATGCTGTTTAATTTAGCAATATTCCAGCGGTATAATGATGATGTAGATGAAGATTAACACAATGCCATTTAGAAAGAGGTCAAATGTAACATGTTATATTTGGGATAACACTTTCTTAGTAAGTAGTACAAGTTCTAGTATTTTTTTGGGTTGAGTCCCATCCAGGATTCAAACCCACACACTCAGACCACTTTCTAAATGGCATTGAGTTAATCATAGCTTTTTCGGCCATGATTGCCATGCCAATTTACACTTATCAGAAGGGTACACAAAGTCCATGAGTCTAGACTACCAGTTGTCCGACTTCCATTTTGTGGAAGTCGTACGGTGGCTGAGCGGGTTAGGCACTGACTTTGTGTGCTGGCGATTAGGTTCCTGTCTCTTAGGGTGTGGGTTCGAATCCCAGATGGGACTCAACCCAAAAAGTACTAGAATCTGTACTTTACTGAGAAAGTGTTATCCCAAATATAACATGTGATGTAGATGACGATGGACTCGACTAGGCATCTCCACAACTGGCTACCCTGCAGTGTCCGGATACGTTTTCTCTGGGTGACAAACACTGATGACTGACTGACCAATACTTGTTAAATGCTGCACTCATCAATAGTCCTGCTCTATGACAACTGTCCATAATTATGGAATGAGATTGGACCAGACAATCCTGTGATTGACAGGCATGGATCTACCCAACTGGCATAAGATGAAATGCATCAAACAAGTCGTGTGAGTCCTCAACCCTCTACATTCAGTCACCTTTTACCTATGGCGTAGTCACCTGTTATGACTTGCATCGAGATGTTAATCATCAGTTATAACCTGGATCTTCATGGGTCTGGAATGATCTGATGTTTAACAATAAGGAAATGATAAGTCTAGTTTATTTCCATATGAGTGAAATGCTACTGGGTAAAATTGACAGTTGATCACTGGTATTTCTGAGCTCAGTATGAGATCCCTGCTCTATTCCAGTTGTTTATGCAATGTCTGACAGATTCGTTTTTTCCCTAAACCCATTAGTTGTACAACTCCTTTGAGACACATTTAGAAGTTGGGACAGTAAGGAAGGATAACAATATATTAATGAACAACTTCTTTATTACACTGAGAGCCTTTGTTTCTGTGTAGGTTCTAACACGTTTCATCACTTGTTTGATAACAATATTAGAGCCTACACTGAAACATCACACTTACCACTGATAATTAATTTTAAGATAGTAGTGAATGAGATACATGTTTTATTCTAGGTTTCATGCAAAGTGACTTGCAATAAAACAATATGAGAGTCAAACATTTATTTTGAAATTCATAGCATACCTACATACCTACCTATATCTTTCAGATATTTTTTTTTCTGTTGGTAATGCAATACATGCTTTAGTTTACAATCGACAGACTCTTTTTTGAGTTACAATCATCATTGTGCACTTTTAAATAAATTTGGGGACACATAATGAAATTATCTACACATTTTTTGTGTGTGTCTTCACAGGTAGTCAGAGGACTCATATCTAAAAAATATATATTCATCGTTACCATGGTTATACAAAGACAGCCATCCAGGGCTACTTATTGCCCCTTTGTAAGGTGAATAACAGGGTTGGATAACATGACATATATCATATGTTTACCTTTAGAATACAATTACCATAAACTTTTTACAAAAGTCTTCATGAAGTTGTGTTAATGTATTCTTAAACAATGTTAAAGTGCTTAGTTAACATAATTTAGGCTCATACCTCACAACAAAGTAGCTCGAAGATAATAGACATGTTTTGCTCATTCTTCACAATGCGTTATATGAAGATTATGGATATCTTGTGTCTGTTGACTAAATTCACAAGACACTGTGCCTACCATAACCTCATAAGTTTCCCATCACCTATTCGACCTTGAAGGGCTAATCCCAAGGCAGATATCATCCTTAAATAGTTTTGATACAAGCAAGTGAACATTTCAGCTTTCAGTGCTGTGACTTTTATGCATGCCCAAGTTGACTACAAAAGTTGTACAATTTTGATTTTCGGGAGCTGATAAAAGGCATTATAACTTAATATCAGCTGAACAAAAGATGACAACAACATTCCCTTCCATTACAACAGCAAGGCAACAGTGAGCCACGTCAACATCTCCGAATCCCAGACTCGGGACCGGGCCTTATACTGTCATTAGTGTCAAAGTATGTTATTGGTAAATCCACGGAAAAGATAATTACTAATAATCAAACAATATATAGAACAGCCTTATAAAAGAGTGAAACATAATCACAACCTAATAAAATAGCAGGTGGCCACACGTAGCACTAAGTCCATGCATTGGAATGCCTTGCTAGCGATTTCTGTTCACGTCGTCTGCCATGTTGTAACCGGAAATGGTGGGTATGTCAAAAGTGTAACTATGGAAATCGTTTCCGGAATACGAATACTATATCAGGATGTCGACAATATTTAGATTGTGTTCTTTATCGATGCTGTTATCAATCTTACCATCAGCTCCGAGATTCCGATGTCTGTATGATTGAAGAGATATGTCTATAAGAAAGAACACTCACTATGCTGAAAGCATTACTGTACAAGTAGATAATTGAAAACACATTAGCCTACTTTTAGTTAGTTTTAACAGCTCGAAGTCTTGAAAACTGATTTGCTGATCAAATTCGACGTGTTTCACAGCTACTCATAATGCTGGTCTGATACCGGATATATCTGATTTTAAAGGGGAAGAGGTAGATATCTAGGGTAACTGATTATTAAAACTGTGACCAACAACTCGTGTTATTCCGGGACAAGCCGAATAGCGACTTCTTTGGAGGTTACGGAAATGGGCGAGTGGTGACGAATGCCACCTACTGTCTCGCTGTTCTTACATCAACCACATTTAAACCTGCCAACACCACCATCTAACGTGACTGCCAACACATTAACAATGTATTTATAATTTATAATATGGATTCAAATATTGAAAGATAGGAAACCAAAACTCCATTGTGCCTTTTATAGACCTTACAAAAGCTTTCGCTACAGTTTGGCCGAGTGGGATTGTGGAAAAATGTCAATGATTGGTGGTGTAGAGGGTACATTCCTCGATCTTGTTTAATCCATCACATGACAATAATCACAATATCCACATCACTAGTACAATGTCACAAAGATGAATCAAACCTATTTCTCATGTAACAATGGCGTCAGACAGGGGAAAATCTGTCACCATTATTATTAGTATTATTCTCCAGTTTCATAAATGAAATTGAATCTCATTTACTTACTTCAGACTGTAATGGTGTAAATCTAAACTATTTAAGACGAGGATTTGGTGATATTTATAAAGTTACTTTTATTATATGCAGATGATACAATATTATTTGATGAATCGCCAAAGGGATTAAAGATGCGTTGGACTTATTTAGGGACTATTGTGATTCATGGAAGCTAAAAGTGAACATAAACAAAACCAAAATAGTAATATTTCGGGGAGGACCATCAAAACCATTTACAATTATTTATCACTTCAAAGAACAATAAATAAAAACGACAATCCCTGGCTCTCGCACGTTAAAAATATATTAGACAATACTGGACTCTCGTATGTTTTTGAAAATCCCCCAATTTGTACAACCCAGTGCCTGGTCTCAAAAGCTGAACATATTCTTGAAGTTTAATTTATCCCAAAACTGGCAAAATGACATTATTTCTTGTCCCAAAGGGAATTTATTACCAACACCTGATGCCATTTCCTAATTTTGATGCATATCTCCTTTCAAAACGTGTGTATGGTGTTTGTTTGTTGTTTAACGTTGCACTAACCGAAATTCCTTAAATATTCCCCCATAATAAATAATCGAGTGAATAAGAAAATACAGTGATTGACATCATGAGCACGGATGAACTCAATCGAGATGCGATGTCATTATCTATCAGCGATTCCGTTAATGTCGCCTCTTGAACGTTGCTGGGTTACGGAAGACCAGTTGCAATCCTGGTCCGAAAGAGTTGAGAACATCGATAACTTGGCTTCCTTAGTTCATACCCGTGAAGATCCGGGGTAGAATTGGTCTTCAGTAACCCATGCTTGTCATAAGAGGCGACTAACGGGGTCGGGTGGTCAGGCTCGCTGACTTGGTTGACACATGTCATCGTATTCCAGTCGCGTTGAATGATGCTCATGCTGTTGATCACTGGATTGTCTGGCCCAGACGTTTATTTACCGACCACCGCCATATAGCTGGCGTTAAACAACAGTCCAACCAACCAACCAGCTTTAGTTCATGTTGCATATGTTCATGCTGTTCGTGCTTCAGGACCATTCAGGAGGATGGGATTGCAATGATCTTGCCATACCAATCCAGGTATATTTTACACGACTGTAAATAACGCTTTGAGGTTAAATATTCAATCCAAATCCAAACCTCTACTGGTTAAAAGCGTCCGCTCGTCAGGCCGAAGACCGGGATCTATTCCCCGCATGGGTACAATGTGTGAAGCCCATTTCTGGTGTCCCCGCCGTGTTATTGCTGAAATATTGCTATTTAAAAGCGGTGTAAAACCCAACCTCACTCACTACTCACCGATTCACAGGCGGGATGAAACAATTCAGCAACCAGGAAACACACAATTCTGATTCCATCCAACAATTCCCACTTCTCCCGACTACTGCCTTTTCACATTCTTCCAGTGGCCTGAACTGAAATCGGTATCCAGGATGCGCAGGCAATGGTTTTCTGAGGAGGGAAACTATCATACCGCTTGGAACACTCTTCCGCTAGTAGCTTACCGATCTTTTAGCGTGAAGAGGATAACAAACGCTTGTCGTATTTATTATAGATTATAGCTAAAATACATGGAATTATCATGAAACTGCCCTCCCATTATCAAAGAAATTTGCGGGCCGCTGATATTGGACCGCCTCAACCTTAACGACGGGCCACTATCAGTTCTGTTGTCAAGTGACGTCATAGTGGGTGCATGGGCTTCGGGTTCATTCGACATTGGCTTTGGACTGGCACACATATTCTGGGGCAAACAAGTCAAAACAACCCGAATTCCCGCAATAAATAGCGGCAATATTGGCTTTCTCGCTGGTGCCAACCTTAACAATTGCACTATTAACATTGCTGTTGGACCAAAACCGAACACTGAAAACTGACGTGTGTCTGACATAGTTTGCAGGCTATGGTCTTGTCAAAGGCCAAGGTCGAATATCGTCACGTTATGTTGTGACGTCCACTTGAATTGTTCGATGACGTAATTAACGTATCGCCACCCGTCAATCAAACAAAATGACATGACCAATGAGAAACGTCAAATTATTCAATCTGCATCGCGTTGCCGTCAGCTGACAGCTGACCACCATTTTGTCCGACATCAGCGGTCTGGCGGACTTTTCAAAAATATATCGACGTTTACAGTCAACTTTTTGATCATGGTGAAAAGGTGTAGCTGGGGTACCTGCAACTCGGACACGCGGTACCCGGAACGACTTGCTGGTGGTATCACCTTTATTCCATTTCCCAAGCCTGCCAGAAATTTTGACAAATGTCAACGATGGATACGTTTGTGTGGTCGCCCCAAGTATCAACTGAACATGGACATACTTCGTGACCACAGCCGAGGAAAACATTTCTTCGTATGTACAAAGGTATGGAAACTAAAATTGAATAACATCTTAACCAATGTTCAAGTTAATGTAAATTTAGAAATCTTTGACTTGGTAGACTTTCAGTGCTTTTTAGTTGTTATATAACCAGTTTACACCGATTTTCACTGATTTAGTTACTAATGTTTCACCGCGTGGTATGTCAAGGACAGACGATGTCTGTGTTTGAGCATACGATTTCAGATACATCCATGTTGTTTTTCGTCGTTTCTATAGACTAATAAATGCGAGTTTATTTACAGCACTTTGTTGATGGAAAACCCTCCAAGACATTTCCGGACCCTGCGTCTGCACTACCTCATGAACAAAATGAAAATCCAAAGACAGTAAGACCACGACCCAAACCACGCTTGCCATTTATGGGCGACAGAAAAAGGAAAGTTCTTCTTGAAACACACAGGTAAAACATTGTTGCCTTTATACTTACTGCTCACAAAACACGACAAAACCATTGAAATATAAAAATCAAACAAATCCTTGTTTATTCTGAGAGTATCACAGAAAGTTAGTAAAGGTAATGTCACACATTTAGATCCTTTGTAGTTATGAAAAGACAGAAGTATCACGTGCATCACAAGATCACAATCATACTCAAGTTCTATTCATATAAGCATGATGAAGGGACTGATATCACCTGCAGCAGGTGCATATTGACATCTAATTGTTCCAGGTAAAACTGTGTTTCACCCAAGGCCCATAATATTGAGTGATAATACACAATAACTCTGAAGGATTCAAAGTATTCATTACAATCCATCATAAATATTAATACATCAACATGGACATTTGCTATAACCACTGAGATCAGCCACGACAGTGGTTCTTTTAAATATGTTTAAATACAACATTAATTTACATGTACATTTAACCACTGAGATGTGACAGTGGTTCTTTTAAATATGTTTAAATACAACATTAATTTACATATTTATAGATGTTTTTTACATGGCATGGCCAGACACAGCCATTAGTCCCCTATCCAGAGATTGCTAATATTTCATACAGAAAAGATGACTTCTCAAATATAGAGATAATGTATGAATCAGATGGTCCAATATCCACATCCAACTAGTCCATTCATACTTGTCATTTCTCTGATGGCCACAGTGTTTAAGAATATATTCTTACTCCTTCATCAGCTGGGAGAGGAATAAAACTAGGAAGCAGATGGCAATATTACATGTGAAAGAACAACAGTCATATGATGTCAACTGTGGGCACTTAACAAGTGAAGCCAAAAGTTATTTATCGCTGAATTGTAATAGCAATAAACACATATATTAGAAAAGTTAATCCAGGCATAAATAGTCCTGATAGGTAATCAAGAAGTTATAGGAAATCGACAAAGATGGTAACCATTTAAAGGCTGTAACACATTTGAGGTTCAGGTATAAGATAATTTGGTCTTCATCTTCTTTTTCAGATGTAATCATGATACAGATGTTTCTGATTCACCAAATCAAATGGATATGGAACATCCAGAGCCTACAACCATGCAGCAGGAATCTGATATTCTTGTCCAACAAACTGACACCATGGGTAATTTTTATGAAGTCTGTTTCCCTGCAAAGTATGGTTTGAAGTGATTGACATATGTTTGTGACAGACTTTCAAGCAGAGTCCTGAAGGTATTCCTATCTGGATATATCCGTTCAATGTTAAAGTCTTGTCTGGTGTAGGTTACAAAGTCACAAAATGGTGCCCCAGTTACAAGTAGTTGGCCCTGTACCTGATACCAATGCCTATCACCTCTCTTCAAGTTGTAATATTTTCCTTCTTTTTTCAAAAAGAAACCAGTCATACAGGAGGCTTCATTAATGGTCAAGTCCCTTACAGCATAAGGACACTTAATTTCCACAATACCAGAAACAGAAGTGTCACACACTATATAGCATCAGGGGTGGCTCCTATAAATGGAATAGATGGGTTTACAACAAAGCCAATGTCATGAAGATGATTTTGAGTTTTTTCATGTACATTTGTTTAGCTATTTTCTCATTAGAATTCCCATAAGTTGTTGGATTGGAGGAAAATTTCTTTTTGTCAAAGGTGTTTCTGATAAATGTGTCATTGATTTGTTTTTGCGAGTCATAAGCAGACCAAAGTTTGAAGCAGTAATTCGCCCTTTCCTCGCTTTGTACCACAAATCAGACTTGCTTTGAGATCTTGTATTTTTTTCTAAATTATGGGACTCGTCAACTGAAAGTTCTAAATCTTTCCACTGATGTTTTAAAGTTGCAATTGAATCCAGTTCGGGTAAGTTGTCATCTTTTGGAAATGTGACATCACCGCACCTGTCCTCCATCTTTGGAACCACTATTGGTCTAATTAAGGGTGCCTGTAAAGAGAAGAAGCCAGTTTATTCACACTTAGTTTCATACAAGGGAGGTAATAAGGCTGTTTTTTACTTCTTAAATCTCAAATTGAAACAAGTATGTTGTGGGTGCTATGTGTTCATTCTTAACTTATTCTTTTGTGTGCAAAGCATTTTTAAACATTACAACAAGTCAGATTGATAATAGGTAAGTCTGTTTCAGGCCTAATAATGAGTTTGGTGCCCTAAACTAGCCAGATCATTTCTTCTCTGTAGAATGTATTATTGCTTGAAACAGTTGTAATTGCTTTTGCAGGTCTTCTGCCACTGGATATGCTGGCTCTAGCTGCAGAGAACAAACAACTCAAAGAAGATATGGCCAAACTGATCCTAGAAAAGGAGGAGCTCATGCGTGCCCAGCAGATCAACACCAAAATTAGTGCTAAAAATGTTAAGCATGATGTGTATTCTTTTTGTAAAAATATAGAGAAAAAAGATTACAAGTATTACACAGGATTTCCCTACGAACAGTTTCAGAAAATATTTAAATTTGTTGTCCCTGGCAATGCTGATGATGAACCTTTTCAATTTACCAGAACAGTTAGCAGTTTGAAGTGTATGGGTCTTGAAGACCAGCTTTTGCTTGTTCTGATTAAACTTAGACAGAATTTTGATTTTAAACATCTCTCAAAGTTGTTTCTGATATCACCCCAAGATTGCAGTACTGCGTTTTCAAATTGGATAAATTACTTATATTACAGGTTTGGATCTGTGTCAATTTGGCCTCACCGTGATGTTTTGCAGCAACATATGCCTTCAAAATTTCGCCAGGAATTTCCAAACACTTTCAGTATCATTGATGGAACAGAAATAAAATTCAGAGACCCTCTTCACTGACAAGGCAAAGTCAAGCATATTCAGATTACAAATCAAGTACTACCCTGAAAGGTCTCATTGGTGTGGACCCAAGAGGTTCAATTACATTCATATCAATGCTGTTTTCTGGGGCGATATCAGACAAAGAATTAACTGAAAAAAGTGGTTATCTGTCCCTCCTCAGAGAAATGGTTAAGTGTGGGAAACTTAAAGTGGGAGATGGTCTGATGGCAGACAAGGGCTTTAATATTGAAAAGGAAATAAGGGCCACTGGATTACGCCTCAACATTCCCCTTTTGCACCAGGTATAGGTCAGATGTGTGTGTCTGATGTGGCAGAAACAGTGAAAATTGCAACACACAGAGTGGTGGTCGAAAATGCCATTGGAAGGGTAAAAAAAATCAAAATTGTTGGTAAAAAATTGCATTTAAGTTTGTTTTCCTCAGTAAATCAAATTTGGTTTGTGTGCTGTTTCTTGACCAATTTTATGCCATATTTAATTCAAGATAAAGATTAATTACTTGATGTCCAAGAGTTGATCCAACAACCTGAGGACCTATTGGTGTGTCAACTGTCTGACTGGTGCTGGTACATGTATCTGTCAGGTATGAAATAGGGAATCTCTTCATACTGTGCAGCAGAGACATGTCAGACTCCTGTATTTGAACTTTCCTGCAAGTACAAAAAGTATTAGTCACAAATATTGTATTTGTGTATGTTAAAAACTTGCAATGTCAATGAATATTTTGTACGTGCTCTTGTTCCTTGTTCACTTAACTGAACTGTAATATTTATGCAAACAACTGCTCAATAGTCATCTGATATTGCTTTCTAAACTGTGATGAGTATTTTCTACCTGTGGAAATATCTGATGATCATGGAGTAAAAATGTCATATAGGTAATGCTTGCATTATGATACATCATTTTCATAAAACAAGTTCAGAATCTGAAATAAAACTTTAAGTATATAATAACATCACCTGTTGTCATTGAATGTGGCCATCACAGGTCTCCTTTTCCTATTAAGATTTCCAGGCCTGGCAATAATTATCTGTGACACTGCTTCAGATTCAATCTTTGGTCCCCTTGGTTTATCCCACTGCTGAGGCAGGCTAGTGGAAGAGGGCTGTGAAGGAATGGCTTGATAGCCTGATATCTTCCAGCCTTCCAGTATCAGGACAAGTGCCAGTACATGGGAACACTTTCCACTTGCACTGAAGAGAATAGGGTGAATAAATTTGTTACAGAACTGTGATTGACAGGAATATATAATATATAATATAATTGAGAAGAAAATACATTTACATGGTTTTATTCCCGCAATGCCTAATAACAGATATTACATTTACCTCTTACATTTATTACAGAATCTGTTTCTTTCACGATGATAGAAATTTAACGTAATTATATGGGATAACATGGGTTTCATTGTCAACAACTGAAACGGCCAGCACACAGACGTGTAATTGATTTGATATCTATATATGCCGCTTATAAAACCCCAACAGATTTATGCCATAAATTGGAAAGGCACCCGAAGTTATTACGTGTACTACTCACCCACATTTGCAGCTACAATGGGCGTCAGTGAACGATTTGTGAATTCTGTCAAGGGACAAGTTGATTACATGAGGAGCTTCGGTTTTCCGTTGACTTCTATAAATCCTCCCGCAAATTGACACGATATTATCACAACATGAATGGAAAGTAACGGAATGAAGGTATGAGGCCGAACTAAAAGCCACTCCACGTTGTTTTTGCCGCAAAGTAGGTTCATAAGGCAAATATTTCGGGCCAATATCATCGGGAATGTCTCTAAACGATATCACGACTGCCATTTTGACAGTTGGTTTTGACAGCTATGTTGTCGGACCTTTTGAGAGTTATCTCCCTTTCTTTTTGGGGGCGTGGTTAACTCTCCACTGGCGATCCGTTAATTTCAGTCACTCACTCATGGACGTATCTGTTGCAGTTACACACCCATCCGACTGAGGCAATTTACGTCAAGTAAGCGCCAATAATGCCATTTCATTCTAACTTTCCTATCCCTACGATGATGCATACGGCGTGTATGTCAAAGTATAATTCAGCGAATATTGTCCATTAGCTAAGCAATATCGATGAAATTGTCGGTTTATTGAGGTAGAGACATAATGGACGGAATTGGCCGTGATTAGTTCAAAGGCTGTTTCAAAGAGGGGCGGCGAGGTAGCCTAATGGTTAAAGCGTTCGCTCGTCACGCCGAAGACCCGGGTTCGATTCCCCGTATGGATAGAATGTGCGAAGCCCTTTTCTGGTGTCCCCCGCCGTATTATTGCTGGAATATTGCTAAAAGTGACGTAAAACTAAACTTACTCAACTCACTGTTTCAAAGATTGTTATTTATGCTGTAATATATCATGTTTGCAAAATATAAATCCTGATGGAAACATTAGTTACGTCCTCATAGGTTTCATTGTCAGTAATGTTGTATGATAGTAAAAAAACAGCTTTGGAGGTAATTGATGTCCGACGCATTGTCAAAGGAGTAAATGTAAAGGAATGCCGAAAAATCCAAACAATCCATTGGCATTGCTCAGTTCACTTGTTTCCTGAACCCAGCAGGTATGGCTAGGATAACGAGAGATCAACGACAACAAGCCATTTGACGTCAAGACGCTGGTCAACGTGCTGGAGTCATTGCTAATGACTTCCATTGCGGCGTACGAACGATAGAACGACTGAGACAGCGATACAACGCCACCATCAACACTGATGACGGTCCACGTAGTGGTCGACCCCGTGTAAGAACACAACGCCAGGACCGTCATGTCGTCCATCAGCACCTTTCGTTAATCGAGCCATAGCTGCTGTGTTCAGAAAACAAGTGAACAATTGCTATTCAAGCCGGTAATATATGCCTGAATGCTTGCATGGTTGTCGTACACCTCGATTTCAATGCTGTATTTGGGCGAACTCTTCCCTTTCAACAAACAAACACATTTCTAACCACAATCGCAAACAATATCTATTGGGCAAAACAGGCTGTACGACCACGATTAATGTTTTCCATAAACTTGACTTCCGGTGAATATTTAAAATAAATATGTTCAAATGCTCCATTGATGCTTAAATGTCATTTCCAATATATGACGACGCTTCTTTTGCCTTTCAGTATATATACATACATAATGATAAGTTATCATGTACAATCACAGAATGTTGCATTCAGACACACGGAAAGTACAATTTACAGTCCCATCGGCAATATTTAAGCCAAATCGTGACTAAAACTAGCTTCAAATTGACCATAAATACATGTAAGTTATAAAAAGCCTGTCAACAAGAATATCACAGTTAAGAATGTAAAACTAGCATATAAATCCAACATAATTTAGTTCCAGAAGACAATACACTATAAGAACAGGCTATAGATTGCCAACAGCTGAAGGTAGATCACCATACTAGGGACCCTGGTGACTTACAGTACATTGCTTCATGCATAGACCCTAGCTGAATTTACACCATCCCTTCAGTCGTCAGCAAGTTTAGACACTCTCGTTATACATTAAAATAACATATATTCTACGGTTAAAAATAATGGTATGTTTAAATTTACTTTGAATGTTTATGGACTTACGTACCCTCACAGAAGGACAATACATTAAGTTACAGCTCTAAAGGAACATTTTCACGTGACCATATACGACACAGAAAGGATGTGGATTGTGAGCGACCATATAAGGTTCCGCAAACAACATCCATGTGTGCCAGTTATGAAATATCTATTATTTTGGATATATTGCGCACTCAGCTTCGATGCATAAGTCACTAAGTGATGCAAAAGCTCACAAATTGTCTTTGTCATCAATATGAAAACGAACGTTGTGCTCGGAAAAAAATTGAGAGATTTCTAATTTGAGAGATCACTTTATGTAATCGTTGCAAGCGTTTAGATGTTGGTATGATGAAGAGGAAAACAACTTCTTTATTGCAATATATGCGACGTTTTGGTGGACACACTAACATCTGGGCTAAAGCTGGTCTTCAGTAACCCATGCTTGTCGTCAGAGGCGATTAACGGGATTGGGTGACAAATGTCATGGTATCCTCATTGCCCAGATCAATGCCTGTAGTGTGAATCACTTGATTGTCTAGTCAGACTCGATTATTTACAGACGGACGTCATATAGCTGAAACATTGTTGAGTACGGTGATAACCAACAAACATGAGGTCACGTCGCCATGACGACGATTATTCTTGAGCGAGAGAAAAAAATGCATTTTCTTCAAGAGACCTGTAAGGCAGGTTTGCAAGTAGCATGTTTACGCCTTCACGGTCGTTGTGTTGACAAACAATATCGAAATGTTAAAAGCAGTACAAAATGAATAAACTCGCGTCATTGTTAATGTATGGTGAAGTATGTCCAGATAAACCACGTGGAACATGCTGAGTGCGGCGTTGAACAACAAACCAACCAACCAACCAACCAACCAACAAATCTTTCAGAAACTGTTCAGTGGCCATATTGAAGATGCACATGTAACACCTCAAAAGTAGACGCAACGATAATGCTGAGTTGATGTCTGTCCAACAAAACAGTGCCCTCATGAGTTACAGCTGTTTACATAATTATGCAAAATGTGTAGTTGAATCTGTGGCACATAATTGCATACTTGATGTAGATGGCTCCTGGATGACTTCGACTCTGCTTCAAGGAGAGTGTGTAACAAGGACGTTCTTCATATATCGAAGAGATCGTGGGGTTGCCTAGTATTTATTTAAAGCATTCGTCAATACAGAAAAGTCAGTGACGACACACTGATTACTAAATTTGTTCCAGCTCAGCTTGCGTTACCAGTAGATTCTGGTCCTGTTGTAGCTGTCTACCCATCTCTCCCCTCTTGGTCTAATGTTGACAAGCTTACCGAACAACTGATCATGGCAGAACGGCAAAGTTGCGCTGTCTTGAAACGTCAAAACGTGCAATGGATTTTTTTCTCCAACGTGAAATTATATCCCTTACATTCTTAAAGGAACGGTGGTGTAGCTTAGTGGTTAAGGCGTTCGCCGTCACGCCCAAGGCCCGGGTTCGATTCTGCTGCAGTTCCAGTGTCCCCGTCGTGTTATTGTTGGACTATTGCTAAAAGCGGCATGAAACTAAACTCACTCACTTCAGTGGTGGAAATTTACTGGGATCGGACTATATTCTGTGCGAAATGTATGCATGCTGTAAGGTAGTGAAGAAATGTATCTATTGTGTAAGATGGATGGCGAAATGTATATATGGTGTAAGGTAGATGACGAAATGTATGTATGGTGTAAGGTAGATGACGAAATGTATATATAGTGTAAGGTAGATGGCGAAATGTATATATGGTGTAGATGGTGCAGCCGACTCAGCCTTGGTATCGTGTTTGGCGAGCAGTTGTGACACGGCACCCATGAACTCGCGTTCGAATCCGCGGGCTACTTGGGCCGCATCCTTCGCGGTTAAGGGTTCGGTTTCTTTGTAGCGGCTGGCCATGTCCACGACGGTTAGGGCATACTTGTACCTACTGTCGTGGGGTAGGAACAGGAGGTCTGCCTGGTGGGCGCTATTGGGTATGGTAATGCCGAACCTTCTTTGAGGCACGTAGCGTGGTGCCGGTAAATAGATCTCCCACAGGGCTTGTTTTTTAAGCCACGCTTTGGCCTCGTCTGGGGGTACTCGCGCGATTTTAGCCAGCTTATGTACGGCGCTAGCTCCTTTCCAGTACCCACGCGGGCTGTAGTAAATAGCCTCAAACTTTCTCTGGTTCCGTGACATCGTTGTCGCCCTGACAGGGTATTTATATATACACCTATGTTCTTGGTTCAATTTTCTCATACGCCCGTACGCGTACGTGTTGATCCCGTCGATGGCTATGCAACGCTTCGTGTCCATCGGCGACAGGGACGTCTTGTTTATCGTCAGTCCGTATATCCTGTGCCCGTCGCTTGTAAGCGTGTTCATTTGATGCCTGAAGGTGCGGGTCTTGAACAGGGCATCCTTGAATCTGTCGTGTTTGATTTGTTGTTTCACCACGTACTTCTTGACACCCTTCGCCTTTCGGAAGTCACCATTGTCAGCCTTCAGGATGGAGTACATCTTGGGCCTCAAGCCGATGAACTCGGCTATGGGCGTGCCGGCACATTCGTCCTTCATCTTGCCGAGCACTTTTTTATTTACTGTGCTGTGTATGGCATTGTCCTTGGGGTGGTCGCTGGTGTCGTACAAATCGAGGTGTTTCTTCATGTCCTCGTACACGTCCTCGGTTCGAATCTCCATCAGCAGGGAATCCATGTCCGTGTACAGCACTTCACACCTGACGCCATACTGCTTCTTGAGCTCGTTGTAGTAAAAGTCGTACATCAGGTGTTTGGATAAATCGAGGATGCTCATCCCAACGTAAACAGGCAGGTTGAATTTGATGTGGCTCTTCTTCGTGTCGGTGAATATTTTGCTCCGGTTAAATGCCGGGCTGGCTATCAGTTTCCTGAGCTTGTCTTCCTCTTTCGACCGAACCAGCTTCACGGTCACTCGTTTCCTCAGGTTCTCCATAGTCTTACCGAACACCGAGTTGTTCATGAGCATGTACAGGTTTTTCTCAAAGTCACTGGTGGCCTGCTGTCGCAGGTCCGTGTTCATTCTGATGTAGGGCTCCATCCAGGGGCTCTGGTCGAACACGAGCACCCTGTGTATTTTGGTCAGCCTCATACCCAACGACAGGTACAGCTGCAGGTTGTGATAGTGCACGATGTACTTGGTCTTATTCAATAAGTTGGGCACGAGTTTTTCAACGTCTGCCACCCGCCCACCCAGCAAGTTATGTTGGTACTCGAACATCCTGTCTGGGTTAACCCTCAAACGTTCAGGGGCTAGCTGTTGTGGAATGTGTGCAATGCCTTGGGGTATTCAAAGTCCACTTCGAGGATATAGCCTTTGCTCGAATCCGGCGCGATGCTCATAGCATCGATTGGTGATGCCCATTCGAATCAAGCATGATGCAACATTCTAACACTATTACAGCATGATGCAACATTAAAACACTATTACAGCATGATGCAACATTATAACACTATTACAGCATGATGCAACAATTTAACACTATTACAGCATGATGCAACATTACAAAACTATTACAGCATGAAGCAACATTACAACACTATTACAGCATGATGCAACATTAAAACACTATTACAGAATGATGCACCATTATAACACTATTACAGCATGATGCAACATTCAAACACTATTACATCATGATGCAACATTACAACACTATTACAGCATGATGAAACATTATAACACTATTTCAGGATGATGCAACATTATAACACTATTACAGCATGATGCAACATTATAACACTATTACAGCATGATGCAACATTATAACACTATTACAGCATGATGCAACATTCTAACACTATTACAGCATCATGCAACATTCTAACACTATTACAGGATGATGCAACATTATAACACTATTACAGGATGATGCAACATTATAACACTATTACAGCATGATGCAACATTATAACACTATTACATCATGATGCAACATTAAAAACTATTACAGCATGATGCAACATTACAGCACTATTACAGCATGATGCAATTTTATGACACTATTACAGCATGATGCAACATTATAACACTATTACAGCATGATGCAACATTATAACACTATTACAGCGTGATGCAACATTATAACACTATTACAGGATGATGCAACATTCTAACACTATTACAGCATGATGCAACATTAAAACACTATTACAGCATGATGCAACATTGCAACATTATAACACTTTTACAGTATGATGCAACATTATAATTATTTCAGCATAATGCAACATTATAACACTATTTTAGCATGATGCAACATTATAACACACTATTCAGCTATACAGTGAATTGTAGTAAGGTGATTCCGAAAGTATGTATCCCTTAGTAAATGTGATGCAGTGTATGTTTACGATTTTGAAGCTTATAATCATGTCTCCAGTATATATCTGTAAATATATTTCCAAGGTTCCAAATTTCCCCAAAGAAAACGTGTTGTTAATCTGTATAAGCCTAATGATGATGACTAGTTTTCACACATAAAAATGTATTTTCATTCACCTACCTTTAAACATAGGCATTTGGTAATGGAATTTCCGTTCGAGATTGTAAGGTGATAAGGTACAGGAAATGCGTTGAAGATGACAGTCAAACTGGACAATATTAGCAATATTAGCAATAACTATAATCAAAGCAGTTGCGATTTCGCTTTTTTGTTGCTTGACCATGTAATCTTCCCGCAGTTCATTGATCTTAATGGACAAATTCATCTTCTTGTCGTTGATTGTAGGGCTCCTTGATTGTGACATTGTATTTGTACGTTTGTGTGAGAAGAATATTATTCTGCATTTTCTCTTGGCGTTTCAGAAACATACCTATTTTGGAGACACAATTCACTAACTGTATAGTTGAAGAGTAAATATGTCCTCCCTTGAACTACATAGGCATAACCGGACAGTACTTGACAAATTGAAACCAGGTGATAGGTTGCAGTTTGAGCGAGGACTGTTCCAACACTGGGCTGTGTACGTTGGTAAGTGTAGTGTGACAAAATATTATTGCATTTTTGTGTCTGCTATTCCCTTGTTGAATGCTATATCTGGAATATTCGGCTGTGTCAGGCAGTCTAGTGGTTGAAATTATAAGCATCGATCCAGGCAATTGTTGGTATTCAAAGATTCAAGCATAAAAGATCACACTAAGAGATGTCTGAGCATATAAGATCACAATAAGAGATGTCTGATATTTTGAGATCTACACAATGGAAATGTGAATAAGTATTCTGTCATTCAATGTATTTGATAATGCATATGTCCTCCCTGCGAATAGTCCAGTTATAATTTGCACTCAGCAACGCATGCTTGTGTGTGTGTGTGTGTCTGCACATTATCATGATGCCAATCACTGGATGGTCTGACCCAGACACAATTGTTTACAGGATGTTCTTGCCAAGGTGTAAATAGTCAATCTCTGACATGCTTAACGTTTACGCATAGATACTATATATAACCTGTATGTACCTTTACTGAAAGATTAATTAATGAACACCTAGAACATCATGTCATATCATGAAGTTGATAAAGAGGTTGTGTATCGGTCATTCCGTTATTCTGACAAGACTGCACAGGTATCTAAATTCATAATAACATATTTGTCATGTGTTATTTAGGTAACCAGAAAATCGTGCACTTGGCTGGAGTGGATGATCAAGGGGAAACTACTCTGAATCACTCATTCGCAATAAGTGGAGTAGGAATCGTTCGCATAGATAATTTTTGGTCATTTGCTGGAGACAGCAAAGTGTACTTGGACAACTCAAAGGACGCAAAATTAAGTTCACTTCAGTACTCCTCATCGTTCCTGCTGTAAGATGGCCTGACATTTATATAATTGATTTTGGATCAGATAAACCAATAAATGATACTGTTGCAAAGTAAATGTTACTCCCAGAAACGACCCTAGAAGAACGGTTCATTGTGAAATCCTGGACAATGGTTCATATCCTTTTTATCGCCTCCATTAATACCAATGAATTAAGTTCCAAATGATCACATTGTTGTACTGTTGTTGACAGACCATATGGACCTAATATGATAGTGCAAAGAGCACTATTTAATCTTGGAGAAGTTGGATGTGACACACTCTTTAAGAACTGTGAACAATTCGCTTCATGGTGCCGGTATTACACAGAAACTGAGGTTTGTATTTGTCCAACTATCCCTTTGCCAGTTCATTTGTCAAGCTCTGTAAATTGGACTAGATTTGTAATACGTTTAGATCTGCTCAGACAAAAATAATTATCTTGCAACTGGTCACATAAACAAAAGACGTATTTACTATTTGCCAATTCCGGAGGGAATTGTTAAGAATAGACATCTAACTTCGATGTTGAGGTGTAATGCCCGACCATCAAAGAATCACAGTCTCGTCTTCTGGTAGCCAGTCTGCTTTTGAATGCAGTCTCATGTTAGCCTGAGCGTTTTCGCCATAATAACCTATTTACAAATATCTCACTCAAGACCTACAAGTTCTTCTTTACGAGGGATGGTGTGGTAGCGGTTGATGCAATTGCTCTTCACCCTCTTATGGGTACAATGTACCCATTTCTGGTGCCACTACCATTATATTGCTGGAATATTGCAAAATCCGGGGACAAATAAATATTTGTAGACACAGTTCACCAAATGCATAGCTAAAGAGTAAAGAAATTGTCGTCCCATGAACTACAGACACACAACTGGACAGTACTTGACCACTTGGAACCAGGTGACTTGTTGGAGTTTGACCGAGGAGTGTACAGTCACTGGGCTGTGTATGTTGGTAAGTGTAGTGCGACAAACTATTAATGTAAATCGAGTGTTTGTTTCTGCGTGTTTCTTGTTGAATGCTGCGTCAGCAATATACGTGGTATATGACAGCAGTTGTAAATAATCACAGCTGGCTCAGACAGTCCAGTGATTGAAATCATGAGCATTTATCCATGGAATTGTTGGTATTCAAAAGACGTATAGAGATTTACAACAAAATACATCTGACATTGTCTGAGTTATAGTTGGTCTTCAGTAACCCATGCTTGTCGTAAGAGGCGATCGAGCCGGTGACTTGGTTGGTGCATCCTCGTGATGTCAATCACTGGATGATCTGGTCCAGACTCGATTGTTTACAGAAAGTCATCATATAGTCGGAAAGTTACTTTTGAACAACAGAGAAACAATGCAACCTTATGTCTATGATTTGTGAGTTTCAGAACCTTATGTGTCAAGGTGTAAATATTAACTCACATAAATGTTTAAACATGTAGATCCTATATTGACTTGAACATACCTTTACTGAAAGATTTATGCTTGAACATATGTTCTTTCACGCCAAATCATATCATGAAATTTATAAAGAGGTTGTTTATTGGGCATTCGGATATTTCTGACAAAACTGCATCACACATCTTGTAATAAATAATGTTATCATATTCTCGTGTGTTATTTAGGTAACGACGAAGTCGTGCACTTGTCTGGAGTCGATGGTGCAGGTAGAAGGGACCTGAAGCACCCATGCACAATATCTGGAGTTAAGTCTGATAAAGGAATCGTTCGCAAAGACGATTTTTGGACAGTCACTGAAGACAGCAAAGCGGAAATAAACAACTTCAAGGATTTGAAATTCAAGTAAGTTTTGTTTGTTGTTCAATTCAGCAGTCATTTTTGCTCTAGCTGTAGGACGGTGTCACATTTAAACAATTGATTCTGGACCAGAAAAACAACAACAATAATTGATACTGTCGGAAGCGAAAGTTACTCCCAGCAACAATCCTGGAAGAACGGTTCTTTTTTTAAATCCTGAACAATGGTATTTATCCAGTTTTTGAGGTCTTTCCCTCGTCCCCATTAATACCAAGGAATTGAATTCCAAATGATCACATTGTTGTTCTGTTGTTTCCAGACCCTTGGAACCATCTAAGATAGTACAAAGAGCATTATCCAAAGTTAGAGAAGTTGGATATAACTTGCTCTACATGAACTGTGAACACTTTGCTACATGGTGCTGGAAGGTAGTGTTGCGAAGGGACATCTAAATTCGATATTGAAGTGTAAACCCTACACATAAATGAATAACAGTCTGGTAGTCAGGTAGGGAAGGTATTTAGCAAATTGTTACGTTGTATCTTGATATAAAATATCAATACCATAGGAGGTCAATCTCTCTGTTGCCAAACAGATTGCCTTCAATGGTAAAAGAGTGGTCAAATTAATATGAACTGATCACTGAAGAATTAAGGAACTAGAAAGAAAGCTTTTGCACTTTTCCTGTCTTTCCTACGACGTCTGCTTTTAAACTGTTGTATTCTGTTCGCAAATGGGTTTTCGCCATACGGATCTATTTGCAAATATCTCTTTTGAGACGTACATGTTCTTCGGTTTAAATTTCACAAATGGGTACGATTACGATTTGTGTAGCACAACTCTGGTATCCTCGGGCGTGATATTGCTGGAATATTGCTGATGTACATCGCAACTCACTCATTCTTTATTAAGAAGAGATTCCAAACGGTTTCCCTTTAGGTCGTAACATTACCTGTCAGGACAGCCAGCACGTTTAGAAACATTTGGTGTTCCTTACAGAAAACCGTATGGTTGAAATAGTGTTGTCTAGGATTTTGGTGAGTGAGTCTAGTTAACGCCGCACTTCCAGCAATATGGTGGGTGTGGGATTTAGGAAACACATTATGGATGTAGAAAACAAATCAAACATCAATCGTTTTCTTTTCCTGTAGGTTGGTCTGTTTGCTGCAGTGGCTTCGTATGTTGGGGGTGCCGTTGTGGCAGGGGCAGGGATAGCATTGGCTGTCTTGTTTGGAAGTGGCAGAAAGGAGGAAAGAGAAAAACGGTCCAAAAACTAACAAGTTCAATTCCCACCATAAAATGGTGAAACCAAATAAATTGGTCAAGTAAACTGTGAAGTGTTCAACGAATGCACCATATCTGACAACAGAGAGGTTGCATTCCTCACCAACTTGTACCATTCCGTGACAAGCCCAATATTCATGCCTCAGTCATGCGCCTGTTCATTCAGCCTTTCGAAGGATTCCATATTAGCAGTTCCGGGACATGTCTTTACATTCCATCATGTAGTATGAACTTGTGAAGGCTGTAAAACAAGAACGATAACTCATATTCCATATACGTCTTAAAGCAGTTTTACTATGTAAGCTCCTACAACATCTGCTTAACTTATACAACCACGTTGTATGAACAATATATATTAATAATGCTGTTTGTATTCCGAGACAGACTTTTGAGACCTAGCTACCTTTTGTTTTAATAGGCGACTTTAACGAATCGGGTGATCAAAATCGGTTCCTTTGCTTATTTCTTGCCATCATACTCTTATGATATAAATGGTGTTCACAATTAATGGTTTGTCTGTCGAAGTCTCCCGACTTTCAGGTGGCCATGGCAGAACTGAGTCTTGCAGCGTTTTAAAACAAGAAGCTTTTACAAAATTCATTGAAATGTAATGTTTTAATGATGCAAAGAAAACGTAGAAACTATTTCAGTAATGAGGAAAATAGAACCCTTGTGCTAGATAGAGGTTTATAATTAGCTTAAATGTTATAATTGATAAAGCAATTGAAAGACAGGTGGTGAAACTATAATATCACCGTTTAAGTAATTACTGAAGCCAAAGTCATTACTTAAAGTACCAAGGTGCCAATGTTTGTTGATTACATTGAACAATGTATTATAATGATTAGAACAATCAAAACGATTGATAATTCCATAATATATTTAGTTATCATACAATGGATAGCATTCTCGGCAGGATAAAGCCAACGGATAGTTTCGGTATCAGTTGGGGTCATATGCAGATATGGATGCAAATTAGAGAGGTCATATGTAAATTTTAGGGACTACGTTCACAGTGTAAACAAACATGGCGTCATGTGTGGGCGATCGTATCCGGATTGACGGCCGTCGTTACGGTACTGTCAGTGCTTTGATCCAAGAAAATTCATGTCTGGCTATGATAGATGTAGTGGATTACGATGTGAAAATTGAAAATCATAGGCTTATGGAGATACCAACACCAGTTCCCCGACCGACTGTCAGTGTTAGCGAGTATACGGCACTGGAAGCCATGTGCAGAATGTCACGCGGACATTACAGCGTATTCTTGTTCAAGAGGTTAATTGAAGGTTTCTGAAGTTCTGGACGAGTGTGTTGATTTCAAGAATAAGCTAAGATTCCTTTGCATTATTTACACATTTTGTTTTAAATCTGTTATCTGTAAATACTTGACATATGTTTTTCTGCTGCTCAGTTGTAAATATTGTGTAACGTAATATAGGCCTGTGGCCTTTTAAAAACCGATTACAGATTGACCGAATAGTGTTATAACTGTATCTGACAGGAAGTGAGGTTAGGTTATTTCCTGCTGGTTTTTTGTGCATCATGTACATTCTATCATCCGAACCCTCTGGACCAGTGAAGCTGAAACTTCACATGCTTCTTCGCAGCAATTGTTTAAGTCAAATTTGTTTAACATGTTAGAATTATATATTATAATTTGTTAGAATTCTATATGGTTGTCATAGCAACAGTTTTTGAAAAATATATTTATGACCATTACTCTACCTGTTTTGTAGACATTTTGAGAAAAGTTTCCATTTGTTTAGTCTGTGGTACGATTCAGTAAATATGTGTCATTTTTCAGTGTTTTGAATATAAGTAAATATTTCTTTTCAACAATTTTGTATACATCGTATGTGTGAAATAAATATGTAAACATTTTTTTGTGTAATGATTGTGTTCAAGTAGCATGAAACCAACTTTAAGGATGCTACTGATATCTTAATTTCTATATTATGTAATTTACGAAACGGGAAAGATGGTGGATGTAGTAGAGTATGTGCCAAATTTGCCATCACGTAAAGGATTGTCTGCAAAACTGGCCAGTTAGTGGAAGATAAGGAGCAGTATAGTGTGCCACCTTCAGAACACATTTGACGTCTTTTGTTAACTGTACACAGTTTTTAAATGTGAAGTTACCAACACATGCATATTTTCCGTTGGACGAGTGGTCGGTCAGATGACCGCAAAAAACTGAGGTTCAATGGTGTATCATCAAAATCTTTTCCCGCTCATTCGTTCATCACTTGACATAAACATTGAGGGGCTTCTTCCATGTTGCTGTGAATACTGAGTGAGTATGGTTTTACGCCGCTGTTAGCACTGTTCCAGCAATATCATGGCCGGGAACACCCAAAATGGGCTTAACACATTGTACCCATGTGGGGAATCGAACCCGGGTCTTCAGCGTGACGAGCGGACGCTTTAACCACAAGGCTACCCCAACGCCCCTCCTGGGAATAACCCGTAGCACGAATAATGTAGAAGCTTTGTTTCGTTTCGACCTCGTTATCCCGACCTCGATGTTTTGTCATTCATCGGAAGAAGCCACACAGGTGGAGAATATACATACCATGCGAGTAAACAAGAGAAGTGACATTAAAATTGAGGACTCGATCTTTGTGTAGACAGACAAGTAACAGCCAACAGCAGTCTATATATTTACCGAACATTCTATTAAACACAACTTTCTGATGATCATTAATTTTTATCATTGATAAGTAACACTTATAATTAGCACCGGTTCCTGAACAACCTCAACAATATCTCTCATCTTACCTCACACATAAATGTCGTTTTCTGATTGGGTGAGCCCTCTTTTATTATTTTCAGTTTACCCCGCTTACACACGATAAACGTTTTCTATGTTACCCGCTGGGAATGCCGAACTATGGGAGTTCATTTGGTACTTCGTGTTAGTAATGCTTTATCTCGAATAATTGAGTCAAGTATGATGTCCAGCAAATGCATATAGGTGGAAGGGAGGTAACATTGTATTTAAAAACACAGCCAAACGAGACTTACCTGTAAGTTGAAGTTTAGTTGTAATTCTCCGAGGCATCCGGGAACAGGGAGATCAAGTGAGATTGCGCGTGAGGAATCGGTTCAGTTTTCAACTTTGTGCTGTGTATTCAGGAGTTTTGTCACGGGTGGGAGGGTGTGGCACTTGATCTCCCTGTTCCCGGATGCCTCGGAGAATTACAACTAAACTTCAACTTACAGGTAAATCTCGTTTACTTTTTAAATTCTCCTTCGGCATCCGGTCACGTGAGATCACGTGAGATTTTAAAGTAGATACACAGCACAAACAAGATCAAGATCCAATGTTTATGTAAATATTTACATGTACACTATGTGGAAACAGACATTAACTAATGTGCTAATTATTGAACAACAGTGTTTTTACAGGGCATAAGCTATGTGTATGAATAAGGCACAAATCTAGCAAAACCAGAATACTGACCTTACATACAAAGTTCCTTCACATAACATGGGATACTACTAATCATGCTAATAAACATAATATGCAACATTCATCAAGGGTAAACAGAGAGAAATATATCCATGAGAGCATTCCAACACGGCTTGGAAACAACTATGTGTATGAATAAGGCACTAATCTAGCATATCCAAGAATACTGAGTTTACATAAAACAATGTTCTTATACTACTAACAGAGAAATATATCAATGAGAGCATTCCAACACGGCTTGGCCAAATGACTGTTCATTAACAAGAGGTTTCTGATAAAATCTCTGAAAAGTCTCACAGTTGGACCACCCTGCTGTGTCCATGATAGTCTTAATGTTCACACCCTTTGCACCAGCTGCACTGGTTGAAGCAGACCGGGTGCTATGTCCAGAGAATTGGGCAGTGTTAATCCCTGCTGCCGACAAGGTGAACTTTAGCCACCTTGCTATAGTGTCTTTACTAACCTGCTTATGAGGCTGATTAAAACTCACCAGGAGTCGGGAGCTCTTTCTTATGTCTCTTGTTGTTTCAATGTATTTTGCCAAGCAAGTCACAACACACAACTTCTCATTTTCAAAGGGCTTCAACACAAGTGGCTTAGGTTGGTATGATGGTCTCGACTGTTTCAACAGTTCTGGTATGAGAAAAACTATACTCTCATTATCCTTTGTCATATTATTTAAATCCAACACCTGGAGCGATTGTACTCTCTGACCTGTTACTAGGGCCAGTAGCATAGCTACTTTCAAAGTGAGGTCCTTTAATGACAAGTGCTGGTTATCCCCTTTCTGCTCCAAGAATCTAAGTACTATACCAACATCCCATGTATATTGATATTTAGGGACTGAGGGTCGAGTGTTAAAAACTCCTCGAACAAAGCGCCTCAGCAAGGGATGTTGACCAATAGGGAGTCCTGATGGCAAAGAAAGAATAGCTGATAATGCACTCCTAGCTGAGTTGATAGCACTATAACTACCACCTAATTCATATAATTCAGTCAGAAATTCAATAGCAGTGTTCACACACGGATGCAGAGAATCTATATTTCTAGCTGAACAAAACTGCTCCCACTTTGATAAGTATACCCTGTACTGATTTTGAGTTCCCTTCCTCCAAGAACTCATAATGATTGACACTGATGTTGGGGAAAGGCCTGATTTCTCCAAACCTTGCCTGACAAATGGCAAGCCATTAGCTGCATCTTTGGGTAGAGTGGATGTACAAGATCTGGCTTGTAAGGAAGAACAAGTGTCTTTGGTCCTCTTGGTAGTATTGTGGGTGGAGATACACACATCCTTAAGACTGCTGGGTACCAGCTTTGAGACGGCCATCTGGGTATGATGACCAGGACCTCTGCCTTGTCTTCCCTGATCTTCTGCATGGTCATCTCCAGTACACTGAAGGGGGCAAATGCATAAAGTAATTGAGTTGACCAATCCCAAGTAAAGGCATCAATGGCTATAGCCTCAGGGTCAGGCCGCCACGAGATGTAATATCCCAACTGCTTATTCAATCTAGATGCGAACAAGTCTATTTTAGGTAGAAAATATATCTTGACAAGTTTCCTAAATAGCGTTTGGTTGAGCATCCACTCTGTCTCATCATGAAAAACTCTACTCTCTCTATCTGCAACAATATTTTTAGATCCTGGGAGGTGAGTCGCTGTGAACCACATGTTATGCCTCATGCCCAAACCCCATATATCTCTGGCAAGCATGTTACACACAACTGATTTTGTGCCCCCCATGTGGTTAATGTAAGCAACTGCAGTAGAATTGTCAATTCGAAGAAGCACGTGTTGACCCGTCAGCTGTTCACAAAAACACTGCAGTCCCAGATAAACTGCTTTCAGTTCAAGATAGTTAATGTTATCCTTCATCATGCTTTCCTCAACAGACCATCTACCACCAGTACTAGTACCTGAACTATTTAACACCGCTGCCCATCCTTTCGATGAAGCATCTGCGGTGATCATGATAGTGGGAGTGCCCCGGCATATTGGAGCACTAGCATGAGTTATATTATCATTCCACCACTTCAAATCTGCTTTGCTCTGTGCTGACAATGCCATGAAAGCGTTGAAACAACCACGATAATGTTTCTAGGCTTCAGTCTTCTCCATCTCAAGTATCTTAGTGAACAAGACCCCATAAGGCACTGCAATAGCATAAGCGATCATGTTACCAATCAACTCTGCCACTTGTTGAATTGTCACAACCTTTCTCTTACAAACTTCTTGGTATTTTGCTTGAAACTTGTTCACTTTACTTTCAATGAGGGAAATTGTCATTGTCACAGAATTTAACACAAATCCTAAAAAGACCAGTGACTGAGAAGGCTCCAAAACAGACTTTTCAGTGTTGATAATGAAACCAAGTCCCTCAAGTTTATCTTTTGTATGTAAAACATTGTTCTTGCAAAGCTGATGAGTTTCACCTTGAAGGAAAGAGTCATCTATGTAAGCAACAGACAGGTAGCCCTGCTCTCTTAAAGAACTGTAAACTGGTTTCAGGAGCTTAGTGAACACACGTGGAGCTGGGGATAAACCAAAAGGCATACAAGTATACTGGAAAGTGACACCTCTCCATATGAATCTTAGGAAAACTCTGTCTTCCGAAGCAATATTGATGGCATAGTAAGCCTCCTTTAGATCAATGGATGCCATAAAACACTGAGGTGTGACAAGACGCATGGCTGATTTTAGATGCTCCATCTTGAAATGACATTTTTCAATAGCACTGTTTAAGCCCTTGAGATTTAGGATGACTCGGTATGCACCATTGGGTTTGGGGACAAGAAACACTGTACTTATGTAACCCCTGGAGTCTGCAGGAGCAATTTCTAATACCCCTTGTCTAACATGAGTTGTATCTAACTATCCAAAACCGTACTTTCTTTCATGTTTAACTTAGTTTCACGCACCTGACACTGAGTAGGATGCTCAACAAAATCTATCTTATATCCTAAGACAGTTTGTAAAATGTGTTTGTCAGAAGTGAGTTTCCTCCATTCATGAATAAACTGAGATAATCGTCCAGCAACATTGAGTATATCAATATCAGAAGAAATCTCACTCTTTCTGGTCAAATCACACAGGCTAGTGCACTCACGTACCGGATCTACTGCTAATAAGTTCCCCTCCTCTCTTTCCTTTGGTTCTGCCCCTGAGGTTGATGACGTGGTAGATGGTACTGCCTTTGGGGACGCCGGCCAGAAAAACTTTGGGACTGCCGGCCTAAAAAACGACCTCCCCTGCGAGGAAATCTAAAGGATGGCCTGCCTCGTTGAGACTGAGGAAAGTTTGCACTGGGGCGAAAATCCTTCCTAAAGTGAGAAGTCATCTTGAGGCCCATCCTACTGGTATCTGAGAGTTCTTTGATTTTCTCTGAGAGGTTGTCGCCGAAGAGCAAGCCTGTTACTGGTGTCTGACTAGTGCATAAGGCCTTGTATTCAGGTCGCAATTCACCTCTGATAGAGTCTCTCCGTCTTAAACTGATGTCATAATTGGCAAGTGAGAAGAGGGCTAGTCCATCCATCAATTGAGACACAATCTTCTCCATATCTAAATTTGAGGCTGCTTCTTTAGTGAGTGAGTCCACTACTTTCACAATAGGAATAATCCCCTTGCACAAAAGGTTTTGAGATTTTTGGAGGGAAATGTCCTTGTTCCGTGTCTCTGGCTCCATGATGCGCCATATTTCAGAATTGACTCTAGGGGCCATTAGTTTGTCACAGTTTTCCGGGCGTAAATGTTTATCGAAAATAGCCAGTTTTTGTTTTTCTTCCAATTTTGTGCACATCATGTCATTCACGAGATCCGCCATCTCCTTTTGAACCGGCTCCCCGATACAATCAACAGGCTTATACGAAGAAGCCAGCTTCGATAGCAGGGAATTTCCATCAACTGTGGCCGCTGCCATATTGGAAGGTGGAAGGGAGGTAACTGCGACATCGCCTAATGCTAGCCGCTTAGCAGGTGGAGGATCGCACTGTGACCTGGGTACATTGCTCTCATGCTGATCTGTGTCCAGCGAGCTAAAAATAGAATCATGGGCGCTCGGCGATTCTTCTGCCTCTTCATACCCATACATTTGGTTTTTCAGGTCTTCCACTACCGAAAGTACCTTATTCATTTCCTTTTTGTGCATATCAGAAAACATCTGCATCAGTCTCTGTTCATGAGACAAGTTCACATCACTTGGACCGGGCTGCGCCGTGTCCCTCTCACCAATGTCCGACACCCCCTCAGTCACATTAACACTTGCAGTTTCATCTCTGTCTGCTAGCGGAGAATTCTCCGACTCTGATACATACGGTATTTCAGTAGGTGGAGCAGTTTCCCTTGAAACTGTTGAGTCTCCGTGATGGTGGGTCATAACATCCTGTCCTGCCTCCCGCCTTCGGGATGACATAGACTGACCCAAAAGTTCTTTGTGCAATTAAGCCAAGATGGCGACCTTTGGTCTCTCACTAGCCATCATGAAAAAACAGTCAACACCCGTTATTGAGCAAACTACCGACAAGTTCAAGAGGTAAAGTCACAAGAAAAACTCACAATTGACGAATCCCAGTACGAATTTCTCTCAACACAATAAATTCCATGGAAAATCCAGAGTGAAAAGCACGATAGCGTAATCACAACATGGCCGAACCGATGCCAAACTCGCACTGAACCGATTCCTCACGCGCAATCTCACGTGATCTCACGTGACCGGATGCCGAAGGAGGACACTACACCACTACGACAGCACAGCGACAGTCATAACAATACGGCAAAGTAATATACATTACACCACAGTGAGGGTACGACACGTTATTACATCACAGCCACAGACACAACAACATGGCAGAGCAATAGACATTACAACAAAGTGAGGGTACGACACGGTATTACATCACAGCAACAGACACAACAACACGGCAGAGCAATAGACATTACAACAAGGTGAGGGTACGCCACGGTATTACATCACAGCCACAGACACAACAACACGGCAAAGCAATAGACATTACAACACAGTGAAGGTACGACACGGTATTACATCACAGCCACAGACACAACATCATGGCAGAGCAATAGACATTACAACACAGTGAGGGTACGACACGGTATTACATCACAGCAACAGACACAACAACACGGCAGAGCAATAGACATTACAACACAGTGAGGGTACGACACGGTATTACATCACAACCACAGACACAACAACATGGCAGAGCAATAGACATTACAACACAGTGAGGGTACGACACGGTATTACATCTCAACCGCAGACACAACATCATGGCAGAGCAATAGACATTACAACACAGTGAGGGTACGACACGGTATTACATCACAGCCACAGACACAACAACACGGCAGAGCAATAGACATTACAACACAGTGAGGGTACGACACGGTATAACATCACAACCACAGACACAACAACACGGCAGAGCAATAGACATTACAACACAGTGAGGGTACGACACGGTATTACATCACAACCACAGACACAACATCATGGCAGAGCAATAGACATTACAACACAGTGAGGGTACGACACGGTATTACATCACAGCCACAGACACAACATCATGGCAGAGCAATAGACATTACAACACAGTGAGGGTACGACACGGTATTACATCACAACCGCAGACACAACATCATGGCAGAGCAATAGACATTACAACACAGTGAGGGTACGACACGGTATTACATCACAGCCACAGACACAACATCATGGCAGAGCAATAGACATTACAACACAGTGAGGGTACGACACGGTATTACATCACAACCACAGACACAACAACATGGCAGAGCAATAGACATTACAACACAGTGAGGGTACGACACGGTATTACATCACAACCACAGACACAACAACACGGCAGAGCAATATACATTAGAACACAGTGAGGGTACGACACGGTATTACATCACAGCAACAGACACAACAAGACGGCGGAGCAATAGACATTACAACACAGTGAGGGTACGACACGGTATTACATCACAACCACAAACACAACAACATGGCAGAGCAATAGACATTACAACACAGTGAGGGTACGACACGGTATTACATCACAGACACAGACACAACAAGTCGGCAGAGCAATAGACATTACAACACAGTGAGGGTACGACACGGTATTACATCACAACCACAGAAACAACAACATGTTAGAGCAATAGACATTACAACACAGTGAGGGTACGACACGGTATTACATCACAGCAACAGACACAACAAGACGGCGGGGCAATAGACATTACAACACAGTGAGGGTACAACACGGTATTACATCACAACCACAAACACAACAACATGGCAGAGCAATAGACATTACAACACAGTGAGGGTACGACACGGTATTACATCACAACCACAAACACAACAACATGGCAGAGCAATAGACATTACAACACAGTGAGGGTACGACACGGTATTACATCACAGACACAGACACAACAAGTCGGCAGAGCAATAGACATTACAACACAGTGAGGGTACGACACGGTATTACATCACAACCACAGAAACAACAACATGTTAGAGCAATAGACATTACAACACAGTGAGGGTACGACACGGTATAACATCACAACCACAGACACAACTACACGGCAGAACAATAGACATTACAACACAGTGAGGGTACGACACGGTATTACATCACAACCACAAACACAACAACACGGCAGAGCAATAGACATTACAACACAGTGAGGGTACGACACGGTATTACATCACAGCCATAGACACAACAAGGCGGCAGAGCAATAGACATTACAACACAGTGAGGGTACGAGACGTTATTACATCACAGCCACAGAACTTCACTAACAACTGTTAACCTTTACTATTCTGAAACCCTACAGAGAGTCATTTTATCACCCATATAGGGCGAGAGGTTATAAAAAACAAGAATATTTTTTTATATGGCCTTAAAATCAATCACTAGGTCCGTCTAGCACTGTGTTCACATAGCTGAAATATTTGTAATTGTGAAATACAACAACATACACGTTTGGGTCAGGTCATCATTGAGTACTTGTCAATATGGAACTGTTCCAAACCTTCATAATACGATCGGAATATCTGAAATGCGATAGTATGGTCGCGCGAAGTTAGGATTCCTCGGGAATGACTGCCTGGGGTAACTCAATGTCCAGATGGCATAACACTTTGTGCAGTGGTCACGAAAGTCAGTTGGAAGGTAGGTTTATTGCGCAGCTCAAGGCAAGGAGTGTTTGCATGTTTGAATAGCTCGTCTGTCAAATGTGATCTGACCCGGATTAATAATATATTATGGTATAGATAACATACTGTAGAAACAAACAATTCAACGTTTGTGATTGGGATTAGATGATTGTAAATTTGCAAACCAGGATTTGTATAGTCATACCACAACTGGATCATGTGTATCGGGAAATGCGTTACAAGCAATACGTTTCGTGAGTTTCGTGAGTGAATGTATTCCAGCAATTTACGGTGGGGGACTGTTTCTTCAGAAAACACCTTAGCTCATGATTTACCTGATGTAATCGTGCATGTACAGACTATTAAACGATTATGAAGGGATAAGGAGATTTGTTTTCATAGCTGAAATATCTGATTTGTTTGCAAAACACGTTTCACCACGCTATATAAACACAATTTACTGTATTCGCAATCACAAACCCATCAACGCCTTCAGGCTCAGAGAACACAAACAAAACATAGAGGGTACATCAACCCATGGCCCCCTCGTGACGAGTCCACAACAACTGATAATGTCACGTTGATCGTGTCGCCTATTTCCATGTTCAGAATTTGTACATGTGTTACACTGTGATACTGAAACAAATATATATTCTCATGATACAGTCACAACTGTACAACCGACTCTGCTTAGAGCAGATATTTCTTATGAATGTGGAAATGCTTTTGTCGCTTTTATTTACTAGGTGCTGTTTTGTGAACACCTTAGGTAGTTCGGAGGACATATTTTCATAATGTATTACTTGAATCTATTTGTTTTAACACAAGTTATCCCTCTGTCATATGTTGAACATACAAATAACCATGTAACCTCAAACTTCGATGAACTATTTTGTTGCGAGTGACAAATGATCGTTTTAAGGCTGTGTATGCAAGATAACAATCATTTACATCAGGTTGGCATGGAGTAACTATTGTCCTATTGTCAACCTACTAGCAGTGGCGTTTGTAATGCGATACTTTGTTCCAAATCAGTTGATTTATCTGACATGTGATGTCAGGATGACACAGTGTACGAGGAAGGCAAACCGCGAAGAGCAGCATTAGATAAGAGATTTGTATGTAGACGTCAGTGATAGGAAGGAAAATGTTGGTATATTTCCTGATTTGGCACACAATAATTATAGAGTAGGAGAAATAAAATGTGATTCAGAATTTCCATGTTTGTATGTCTGTATTTGTAAGCTTATGATTCATTTCTTATTAATTCAAAGTTAAATGACGGATGTATCGGAACATATACAATTAGCAAATGTTTGTGGTATGTCTTGATTACAATTGTATTTTAAAACAATGCCACTGTAATATCCGGGATGTTCTGACGAGGATAAGTTGATGGAAGGTAATCGTTGATGTTATTTGTTATTATCAGTTATTGCCCTTACGGCGTTTCTGATAACTGATAACTAACATTTGGTGTTGCACTGTATTTAACTAACCCCCTGGCGACAGCGGGACACGACCCTACAACACTGAGTTTGACGAATAGGTGACGTATACCGGTGGTTATATAGCCGCAAATTTAGTTATATCGGCGACGCGTAAATTTGCGGCTATATAACCACTGTTATACGTCCCCAATTCGTCAAACACAGTACAGTTATCCCCTAAGTCGGGAGGGGAGTATACTGCCCAACTCAGGTGTTTGTATAGCTCGTCTGTCAAATATGATCTAACACAGATTAATAACATGATATTGTACATATAATATATTGTATATTGTAACATTACATTGCTGGTAATATTAGTCCGGCAGTTGGCATAAATTTGCAGTTCAGCTGTAAGGCCTTCCACGAACCATTTCAAATGCAACTGACAGGACACAATTGTCACATAGAAATCGCCTTCCAGTCAATGTTACACATCCTTTTGAACCCCAGAGTGTGTTCCAAATTGATTTCTTTCTTCAGGCAATTTATGTCCCAGCAATGCAACCACCGTTATCTGTCTTGACAAAGACAAGCACATTGAAGTTCCTCTGTGAATTTTCAATCTTTGAAAAATGACACATCTTGCTAATGCAATTCACAAGACTACAGCGGATATTATTGATAGGGGATGTTGATTATATTTTTAATACTCACTTTTAATACATACATGACAAAAGTCTATTGGGACAACAATCAATGAAGCTCGGTGTCATCCACATAATG